TCATGGCTCGTCCGACCACGTCGGCCAAAGTGTCACTGCGAATAGTCAGAATGTGACACTCCACAAGGTATGAAGAAAGCTGCCGAACTTGCTCACGATCCTATTACCGAATACCCCAGTCCGACGAAAGCGGGAAACAGAGGAAAAAGAAGACCCAAGCTCCAGCGGAAGCGAGCAACCCTCCACTTAACACACGTTGACTTCAAAATTGCAAAACCTAAACCCTAAATATAAGCCACATGATTCATTCGATTCTATTCACCATTATCCTGTATTAGTAGACAAGTTAAACTAGTACTGGAAACGGAGACGACCCAGGGGGCATATGAATTCTTGTATTCTTCTCAAGACATCTCTTGAGCTTGCATCTTGCCCTATGCTATTGCCCACAGTCTACAAGAAGCTAGCTATCATTCTGCCACTCTTATCTTCTATCATCTTACTACCAGGTAATTACTTTTAAAAATTACAAAGAAGCAATGGCAACCTTTGGTTACCGGTATCCTTGGAGTACTAGTAATACTCCAGACCATGTCCATGCTGGTTCAGCACCCATTCGAGATTTTCAAGCCATTCTGGATGCCAGTACTCGCATCGTCGAGTTGTCCGACTCTCTGCAGCAACCTCACCATAGCAGTATTGAAAGCGTCCGGTGTCTGATTCATGAGTCCTTTTCTGGACGATTGCCTTCGGAAGTACTGGTATTCTTTGAAGCGCTGGGATCCCGACCCAAGCTACAGAAATTGTTTTGGAATTTTCATAGGCGACATTATGCTCCGCTACCCCTGCAAGCACTCAGTCTGTGTCTCATTCAAGCATCACGACTTGCTCTGTTGGAAGTCTGTGGCTTGGAACTAAATGGGACCAACAGTGACTTTACCACTCTGGCCGCATCCATACAAAACCATCCGTCCTTGGAAGAAATCAAAATATCCAATTGTCGAGTGCCACCGGAACATCTTGATCAACAACAAGAATATCCATTGGATGCACTCGTACAGTCCATGGCCACCATTCCACATCTCCGACGCATCGTACTGCAATCCTCCACACAAGATTCACTCGGGAAATTAAGGCCAGAATCCATTGCCTTGCTAATGACAACCAGAGCACACAATCTACAAGCCATGGGGCTACTCGGGTTCTCCTTTCAAGAAAAACACCTAGTGGCGATATCCAATGCACTCTGCTCTTCATCATCATCATCCTCTCTCAAAGAATTATACCTTGGCAACATTCAGTTGGGAAGCAAGGGAGATTTGGCACTCGCACGCATGCTGCGACGACAAGAAGAATCGTCAACAACACACAACAATACTGCATCGTCTCTGGAATACCTAGACTTGCAGTTTCAACCACATGAATCGCCCATTGAGATTGCACGCTCCCTACCCCACAACACTACCCTCAAGCACTTTTTCGTTCATGGAAATCTCACACAAGTCAGTCAACAAGCCTTTGCACACGCCATTCAACAAAATTATCATTTGCAAAGTTTGGAACTCATGAATGGAAGTCCGTATCTCACCGAGATTCGATTCTACCTCAAAATGAATGCTCTCGTGGGGAGAGCCGAACTTTTGTTGGAGGATAACGACAATAACAACCACGGTAGTAGAGCCAAGTGGGTCGACAAACTCGTCTCGCAACGGGATGATCTCAGTGCCCTGTTCTATTTACTCTCGAGGAATCCCCTCTTGTGTTGTGTTCCCATCAGTTCCATCAGTTCGACCGCGAGATGAACTAACTGGAGTGATGTGATGAGCCAGCTTGGTTGCGTCTGCAGAGCCATGCCATTCTCATAGTTCCCTACATGGGACTAAACTACAGGATATAGAAAATATTATGCATTCTAGAGTTTTAAGTTATCAGTTGTCTAGTTGATTGCTTCTTCTGTAGCCCAACCAAAGCCTGTTTTGTTGTTGTTGTTGTGTTTTGTTGACACTGTGATGTATCATGATTTAGAATCGAATCTGATTGTACGGTATAGAGTCAATCCGAGCAAGCGCTTGCAAAGACAGCACCGCTTACAATTCGGGGCCAAGATTCTTTGCCCCAATCCCCGACAAATATCGTGATACGGGGTGGTTTTCGGTCAACTCTCCAATGGCAAGATTCAAGGGTGATCCTCCCTTACCGTGGTGGGTACGCAGATCCTTGTCGGCTCCAAACTTGATCAAGTACTTGACAGACTCAGTGTGCCCAATACGGATAGCTTCGTGAAGAGGAGTCCAGCCATTGCGATCCTTCTTGAGAAGAGCCTTGGGGTTCTTGCTTTCCAAGGACTTGAGCTTCTCGAGGTCTCCTTGTTGTGCGTAGTAGTGACCCTCGGGAGTATCAACTTGGGCAGCAGTAGGAGAAGGCTTCTTCCATCCGTAGGGGTTTTGGTTGGCCCAGTTTTCAAGTTCTTCAGAGTCCTTGAGCAAGTAGGGAGGGTAGAACTCGTCATCCTGATCGGCGCCGCCTTCGGGAATTTCGCGGCTAAGGGGACGTCCAGTTGGCTCAAAGTGGATAAAGATGTTGGCTGCGTGTCAAAAGAATAGATAGATGTGAGACGGTCGTTCTGGGCCAACACTCACGCCATGTCCTGTCCTGATTTTTACTTACCGTAGTAGCGGCCCTTCATTGCGAATGGGCGGCCGTGCATGAGACTTCCGCTTTCGTACAAGACCATGTCACCAGGTTCCATCTGTTGATTAAAGAGAAGATTGTATTGGTGAGAAGCAAGCTCTTCAGGTTCCAATTCTTTGTTGCATGGATTTCTCGGACTTACAGTAACGTTGATAGCGCGGTCATGTCTGTCATAAATTTCCAGAGGCCATGGTTCATCGACATCCTGGGCCACATTGACAATGCAAGAGCTGACCAACGGAAGCCTGTCAACGTGAGGGTTCAACACGGCTCCTTCCGTGTAGACACGGATGCCGTACATGGAGGTTGGCTTGAGCTCCATTCCAGTCCATTCTTCAATGGTGGTCTTGGCAGCGTCCCAGATCTGGTTCTTAAGGCGCATTCCTCCGGTTCCCCTGAGCTGCTGATCCTCGACGGATACCATGTAAGTTGGGGATGCCCAGTGGTTGACATAGGTGTTTCCGAGGGGCCACACTTCTTGTGTTTGGCTATTCTTGTTGCGTTCCCAGTGTTCACGAAGGAGCTTCATGACACCCTCAGGTGCCTTGATCTTCTTGAAGCCAGTATCAGTGTAGTTGACCTGTATGTAGGGGAAAATACCATGCAAAACAGTGTGATGAGAAGGCCATGGGCAAAAATGGTTTCAAACGAAAGAAAGAGTCATCAGAGGTTGAATTGTTCACTTACCATGGATTTAGGCTGTCGCCTGCTCATGATGAGACGGTCGTCTTCGGTTGCATCACAGCGCTTTCCTTTCTTTCCATAATATTGTCGGCATCCCTCCATGTAGTCTTCATAGAATGCTTTGCGGTCTCCCAAGAGATCACCGCAGGAAGAATTATAGTTGTGGATGGGAAAGGAACAGTCAAGTCCATAGTCTGCTCCCTGAGATGTAGTCGCCACGGCGGCGAGAAGGAAGAGTGCTTGAGAAGTAATTCGGAGGAACATGATGATGTTGATTTTTTTTTAATGGAAAGGTGGTTGCTTTGAGATTTAGGTTTTTGGATCTATGAAAGGATTGGATTGCCGTCGTTGTCGCTTGTTGCTTGTTGGTTTCTGTGCTGTTGTTTGATTGCTCGGAGGAGTTTTTGTGAGCCTCTTTCTATCGATTGCAAAAGCCACGCTGGGTGCTTGCCGCTGCTTCGCATTGAATATTTCACTCTTCGCATCTCGGGTGCTTGGTTTGGGAACGCTTGAAATACATCAAAATGTGAGCCCAAAAACCGAACTTCAAGACCTCATGTCCCTTTCTTTCGTCTGTGACTGGCAGTCATTTTTGGGTCACACTCCCCGCCAAGGTACCATACTAGTAAGTGTACTGTACAAAAGAAGCATGACAGCAACCGGCCAGCTGCAGTTGGCAGCCAAACAGCGAAACAAGCAAAACAAACAGCAACACAATGCAAGCAGCTTGCAGATCGCAGCGTGGACAATGAGAAGGCTCCATCTGGCCAGCCAGCCAGCTCAAGCTGCCACTATGAAGAGGCATTGTGTTTCCAGCTATCCAGCTTCTACCACGCCTCAACAGATCTATCAAGTGCAGCCTGGAAGAAGATACAGCTATCTTTTGTAGAGTTCTTTACACTTTTCAACCTGGTTGCTTGCTTGGTCAGTACTCGCTGTTCGTCAATTGCCGCTCTTCAGTTGTCGAAGCGAGGAAGGAGCTGGAGTTCCCCTGCCCGCCGACCCCATTCGTCGGCTGGGTTGGTGGTTCGAGACACCGACGAAAGAGGCGCATGTGCTTGTCGTTGATGCAGCTTATGCTGCTCTTTCCTGCTTCCTCGCGTCGCCGATATCCGTACAGCATCCTAGCTAGCTAGCTAGCGAGCGACATTGGATAGTACATTCATCGTTTGCACCCATTCGGCTGGTAGGTATGGCGGGGGATTTGAACCGCAACCCCCGAGATACCGTTTCCAGAAAGAATGTGCGGCGTCAGACATGATGCTGGCTTAAGGACCCCACACAACCATCTAATCCCATATGCTAGGGACTGACCTCAAATCGCTATTTTACCTCGATAAATGCTAGTAAATGGCTCACCATGACACCGGCTTCTCAAGCTGACTTGGCAGAGCTGTCATCTCCTCTGTGGTTGGCCAAAAAAGGATTGCGGCACATCATCATGACGCCAAGAGTCTCCTCTCATTGGCCATGATAAGGACAACAGGCCCAAGGCTGTATACATGTAGCTTGTTCTTAGTGTTCGCAGGGTGTCACAAACGGACCAATGGCTGCTTGTTAGCCAGCCAGCAAAATACATCGTCCATTGCGGCTGTTGTCCTATACATCATTGCAAAGTGCAGATTTTTAGCTTTCTGGAGATAACCACAGTTCATCATTTGGTTGGAATGGTGGTACTTACACAACATCATTTCCACGCGAGTCAGTAGGAGGGAAAATCCCATCGTCGCCGAATTTTGTTGTTTGCTGTTGAGGCTCTCGAATGCATGAATCAGCAGGTCAGGAGGGAATCTTGGTTTTGCGCATTGTCATTTTGGTAGTGATTGTACATGACGGATTTCGTGGAGCCACCTTCCGTTGAGATTGGAATCAACATATTCCCACAAAATGCTGCGCCGAATCCAAAAGAAACGTCCAACAAGTAGCCAAGGAGGAGCCACAGCAAAGTCATTGTCCAAGGAAACTTCTTCTGCAATGGAAGGGTCTGATCGCTACCAGATGCTGAAGCATCACAATGATGCTTCCCCAGATTGGGTGACTGATATGATTCTCCAGAAGACTGACAGTCCACCAGTCAAGGCATATGTGGATGGAAAGCTTCGCCGCAGTGAAGATTACTACCCCAGACTTGTTGTTGTCGAAGCTTTTCGTGTCACTCGCTCATACGGGAAGGGAAAAAACCAAATGCCGGTCATCGTGTATGATCTTGTTCTCATGGATGGATCTGAGACATTCATCAAGGCCGTGACGAACAGTGCACTCTCTTCTTTGTTGAAGCGACAGGATATTATGAGTGGTACAACGTTGGTCCTGAAGGAATACCGAGTCCTCCAACTCCATACTGGAAATGACTGTGAGTGGAAGAAGTGCTTGTTGTTGAAGAACTTTGACTGGAAGCTACCACCCGATCGCCCAATCATTGAACCAGTCGGTGCTGGAATCAAACCAGTGGCACGCCGAATCAATTTCGGTACTGAGTCGTCCAACATAGTGGACACTGAAGAGACCACCCCCCACAGCATCTGCTATGATCGAGCAAGCGCTTTATACTGTCGCAACAGTGGAATGGTGCTCTTTACGGAGCCAACCCATGTTGACTGCCCAACAGTCCCGAATCCCCAGAAGTTGGTAAACTTCTCTCACTCGGTCCAGAGTTTTGCAAAAGGTGAATGGATTCTGCATAAGCGAACTCATACCAACTGGATCGACTTTGTCTTGCATGAGTGCCTCCCAGCCGACCGTAAGCTCTGGGTGGATCCCATGTGGCAGATTCCTCCCAAGTATGGGTATGGCGAGATGGATGAAGACAACAGCTCTGTCGAATCAGACGCAAAGTGTGAGTGTGTGTCCAAGCATGGTATGGAGTCTTGTGTTGTCAAAATGATCCGGCCACGTACCTTGGACGCGAACCAGATCTTCTTGTCTTGCTCTCGCCGCTTTGCTGCCACCTCTGATGCAAACTTCTTCAGCGATTTGGAACCCAGACACAAGCGTTGGTGTATGTACTGGTGGTATGCAGTCAATGTTTACCAGATCCGTGGTAGCCGTTCGCCTCTGCCATCTTGCTTTGTTGATAAGATCCGCGCACTTTACCCTAACAAAAACGGAGAGCCTCACGTTGGATTTGTGGCGAGTATTTGAGGTGACTAGATTTGGCAAAGCAATCTTCGGTTGAAAGTTTTGCGACCATTTCGGGTTCGCTGAAAGAAGTAGGAAAATGCGACCATCCGACAATGAGAGATGGAGTGAGTAGTGTATAAGTTTAGTAGAATCATTTCTATTTGTCATGGAGTTGCCTTTTACATAGTGTTTTATCTACCCTTTATTGTACTCGGAAGGTTCAACCAAGCCAGCGAGCTCTTCGATAGTGGCCAACGCATCTCTTTGAGCGTCATCCTGCACGTCTTGGATCGCCACACAATCAAGAATATCAAGTGTATCGGCGATTATTTGAGGCTCGCTGTTGCTGGGCTTGCTCTGATTGGATGTTTCTTCACTATCAAGGGGCTGTGCTTGCGATGTATTCCCATAATACTTACACTGCTTGCTCCGACTGGTGGTGTGGCCAGTTTTCCCACAAAGTGCGCAAACTTTGGATCCTGACTTTATTTCACCACCATGACCTCTTTTCATCCGCTGGCCGCTCTCATAGTTTCTTCCTTTGGCGATGTCTTCCTTGACCTTCGCATGGTACTCCTTCAGCTTCAAGTAGATTTTTTCCATCCTGGACTTCTTGTACTTGGTCGTTTTCTCCTTCGCCAATCTGGCCTGGCGTTCATTCTCACGAACATGGAGAGCGTGGAGTGTACTGTCGCTCATTTCGATTCCAAGCGACTCATACAACGACGAAAAGAAGATATCCCATCCCAGTATGCTCACAGCAACCGCCATACCAATTCTGATTGGGAGGGACAGTGTTCCGGAGTAAGTCTTGTTCTTGGGGGCGAACCAAGAGATAACATTGTTCATCGATTCGTTGACTTGAGTGTCAGACCCATGTGCACATTCCTTCAGCCGGTCTACTTGGACAAAATGATCCAGTACAGGTTTCAGCAAGTTGTACAAGTTCTTGTTCTTCGTCTTACAACGGTATGTCTTCGGCGATGACTCACGCTCTTCTTGACTTTGATTCTTCCTCTTGCAGAAGTCTCCACAAAACTGATGGTTGTCAAAGTGATGCTCCAACACAGCCTTGCCTCTGTTCTCGTACTCTGATTCTGGAATGCCATGGAGTTGACGCAACATGTACACAAACGACAGGCAGAGACGGATGATGTCCCCTTCCACAAGTCCATAGCTCTTGTACAGTCCAGGTTTCTTCATGTCATACAGCTGGTTGCGGAGGGACTTCTTTCGATGAGCGGGATCTGATGCCCACGTTGGGACTGGCACCGGGTACTTTAGGCAACCTCCCTTTCGCTTGATTGGTTTTGGTTTTGTCTTTTTTGGATCTTTTGGCTTTGTCCATCCCACAATGGGAGTACTTGGTAAGTTGTGATGTTTCTTGTAATCCTCGTTGGACCATTTGGTGTTTGCCTCCATCGCGGCATCATCGTCTGTGACTACTGTGTTTACCTCACAGTTGAATGTGTCCCACAGGTGGTGAATCATGTCTAAGAGAGCGGCAGGTTCCATGGAAGACGCACTATCAAAATGATTCCTAACACAAGAGTGCTCTTGGATGGGTAGTTTCTTGGCTTCCCTCAGGGCACAGTAAGAACAGTGTCTGCTTTTCACACTCCACCAAACAGCCTTCCTTGTGTGTAAGCCAACCAGAAGTGCATGACCGCTTTGACTATCATGTTTCCTGCCGCTTCCTCCACGATTGTTCCACCCCATATCCATCGACACTTTTACACGGGCACGAATGCAAGTATTTGGTAACTCTGTTCCATCCAAACAGCACTGCTTCCACTGTGAGTAGTCAAAACCAGGTACATTCGTCATGGTTGCTTCTACTTCTTTCAAAAGTGTCGATGAGATCCAGTCAGGGTAGATGCACAAAGAGCTGGCTGGAGTGGAGAGCTCTGCTTGGAGCCTCACTCCTCTTGACAGTGGGAATGGGCCAGCCACAAAGCTGGCTGCCAATGCTATTCAATCTCCACGGCAATGATTGACAACTACTCTTTGCCTTGGCACAATCCACACAGGAGGCTTCAACTGTGGGGAAACTATGCTACTGAGGCTTATCGGTCAACTATCCTTCTTATTCTTCTTTTAAACTATAAATATAAACACAAACTCTGATTTTGCGTGAAACTCCATCAGCCATGCAGGATACAGATCCATGCATCTCTTTTGGCTGTATAACCAAGCTATCTTTTAGATAGGTCATGGCTGAGGAATGCATCATCCTCCTTGCAGAGGAACTCTATGTCCTCTACAGCTGTTCTTATCTTGTCTGATGGTGACACAGCTCATTGTCTGAAAGAGTGTACAGATGCAGCAGCGATCTTCCACCAGACTGAGCCAGACAGCTGCGCCGCACCCATAATATGGCTCCTATGCATAATCTCATCGCTCCCACCATTGGAGTCATGGATGGGTGCCAACAAGCTTGCACATCATGGGGCTTCCCTCATACTTCCATGAACTGGGAGCATCTGACTGCTCAGTGTGGACTTTGGTCGCATACCTCAGGGGTACCAACCCTCTTGAATACACAAGGTGTCCATTGCTGAGTACCACTGGCACATTGGGAGGGGCATACATGGGCTTGTGATCAAACCTCCAGTCGTGTTCAGGAAGAAAGGGTGCATTGGCATGGTCCATTTGACCGTCAATTGGGATCTCATCTGGTTCCCCATACTTGCATCACAGCTCATTGGCTTAGGAGGTATCGTCTATCTCCCCATAAGGCCAGTGAGAACAATCTGGCCATAACTGTTCATCTGGAGCCCTCAACTGGGTAGTTAGGTGACGGGTTGTCATCCTATGAGGTGGGACTGGTTGTCCTATCATCAGATATTGCCTCAGCTAAAGGCAACACTCGTAGACGTCTCCTCAAGTTTACCATCTCCTTACATGGGTTCAAAAGAATCCCGTCCAAGACACGACTAACTTGGTCTTGCTTGGGTATGACCGTGCAGGTCCTGTCACATGACATGGCAGTGCTCATCCCACAGCCATCAGCTGGGTGGGTGTTGCTCTAGCCCGACTGCTTCACCTTTGCTGAGGGTGACACAGTGTAAGTTCTCCCCATCACCGAAAGTGAAGGGATGCCATCAGGGCGGGAGGGTGGGAGTCACCAAAACATGTTTTCACAAAACGTTGTACTGGGAATACTATCCTGGAGATGACAGTTTAGCACAAACACTTGTCATACTGGGCCATGTCCTGCGGAAGTAGCCCCTATGAGGGTGGCATCTACCCCGCAGCCATGGCCGGTGCCTGGGTACCTTGGGCTCAACCAGTGCGACACAAACACTAGTTGCCACAGGCAAAAATCCGTCTTGACTTGCCCTTGAGGGCTGCAGTCGCCAAATTGCCATCTGGAGGATCTAAGCGTCCCCGACTGCTGGGTCAGCTTCGCTCTTTGGATCCACCAGGTCTGACTCTGGGTTTGACGGTGGGCTTCCATCAGAACTCTTTTGTCAGCGACAGAGAGCCTGTACCAAATCTGGCGTCCATTGCTGGATAGCTGAGACCAGACGTGGTCAGGAAGGCGTGGAACTTACACTGCTCCCCATCACCCTGATTGTCTCGTCTTGCCAATGTCGGCTATGTTGGCTAGACTGAGTCATCATCTCTTCGGTTGATGTCAAAGAATGTGGCGGCATTCAGTAGCACTTCCTTGTACCCGTCGTATGTAAACGATGCATGATGTCCCTCGCGAATATTCTCTCATGTTCACTTGCAGAAATGTCGTTCAAGGTGGGGACACCGGTGAAGGCCCGCTGTAAGAACAGCTTCTGTTATACCATCGGTGAGCCTATCACTGGAGTTCCTTGGCCATCATTGTATCGGGTAACAACTGTGTCAAACTTGACAATGAAGTCCACTGCGGAACCTTGCTCCTCTGGGCTGTATGCACACTAGTCAGCCATGTGAGTGTCTCCACATGATCCAGAGAACCTGCTACTGAAAAGTGAGCGTCCTGAACAAGCCCAACGGAATGGCAAAGCAGTCAGAGTCATGGAATTGGGACTTCACGAACCTTTCCATTGGTGGTCTGCATGTCTTCTGAAAACAGCGTAGAACCAATGTTCATTCGTATGAGTTCATCTATGGACTCGGTGCTGCTTGGGACGTGTCGGCATCAAAGATCTTATAAACCCTTGACCTCTAGCCATAGTGATAAAGGACTCATACCACTGGTCGAAGTCCTTGTTGGATTTGAGGGTAGGGTAGCCGTGGCATCCGGCTGGCACGAAAGGGCTTGCCTGGAAGGCCTGTGTTGCCACCTTCTCCACCACCTCTGGGACTTGGAAGACCACTTGCCATCAGGGGTGGAATGAAGGCTGACTTCCTTCTTGGTTCTCCGGTTGATCAGTAGGTTGGCCGACTGACTTCCTTCTTGGCTTCTCCAGTTGATCAGTAGGTTGGCTGGCTGGAGGGATGGCTGAGTGTACTGGTGTCTTGGATGATGTGGGCCTAATAGGTATGGGCTGATAGGCTGCTGAAGACACAGGTTGTGTAGTTGGGTATCTCACTGAATGGTGTTGGTGGATGCCACAAATGATGGTATTGGTGTTGGTTGGGGTATACCTCCCATTGAGGCCCATACTTGGTGATGGTATCCACCTCCAGCAGGGAAGTGGCAACATCCATGGCAACTTTGGGTTGGGATGGATGACCAAGAGGGTCCTCACATCACCCAACAAACTCTTGTTCCAAACTGCCTGGTTCTGAATCGGTCCTCCTAGCCTTAATCTCAGGGCTAGGCTTGTGTGATAAACCAGTGTGCAGGGAGTGGAGTAATAAGGTGGATGGGATGACCAAGCTGATTGGTATGGTGGCCTTGTGGTGGGGCCAAGGGAGCTTGGTTCATTTGTTTCATTTTCTTCAATGCTATTGCCAGTTGGTGGCTGATCATTGAAAGGGTAACACCTTGGTTGGCTGTGGGGAAGGAGTCACAATGAGAGGCCCTGACTGGTAGGCTACAGGGGGGTCCACAGGTGTCCTTCCATGTGATGGAACTGGATGTGGGGTCCTGCAGTGGTGGACCTGTTGTGTTACCAGTGCTATCGCTAGGTGCTGGTGGTTAACACCAATGGCAGGCTGGGCCTGTTGTTGTTGTCTTCTTCTTCTCGCGAGCCATGATGATGGTTGTTGTTGCGCTGGCTGAGTGTGGTGTAGAGGTGTTGAACAAACACTGTCACGAAAAATCCAAATGGAGGCTTGAAGCCTTGCACTGTGAGTCAATGACTAAACCAAGGCTGCCTGACACACTGATACTTTTGGAATCCTTCGAAACTCGATAAGGTGTTCTCGTGGTGCGTCAGTTGCTCCTGTAATGTACTCGGAACAGTGTATCTTTCGTACGGAGCCACGGAGTTCCGAATGATCGAAAATGTGAGGCGACTCGGATCTTGGGCTCGGCGCGCTTTCGGAACAGAGGTTCGGTACCGGTTTTGTGAGTACCGTGTGAGTACCGTTCACCGCAGCTACTCCGAGGCACGACTGGAATTTCCGTAGGAAAATCGAAGATATCGACAATGATGATAGCCGTCTATTCCGCTATCGGCCGGTCGAACTAGGCCGATTAACAAGAAACTGGCTGGACTATCCTCTCAAGCACCCTCAGGTTAGTAGGTGTACCACTTGGTTTGGTCACTACCGGTCCAGTGGTTGCGTCGTCGCTCGCAATGTGCTTTTCGGTCGATATTCTTGTTGGTGATCTTCACTCTTTCGATCACCGTCTCGGTATTCAAGCCTATTAACCGGAGCACTGGCTGGCCTATCTTGTAGAGCGTCCTTCGGTTAGTAGGTGACCGTCTTGGTTCCACTCGAATCGGTCGCGATTCAGTTTTCGGTCTCGATCTGTCACAGGTCTCAATGCCGAATCGGCAACTCCCCTCTCTTCGCCTCGACGATTTCCACACCTAGCCACTCTTGTGCTGCTTGCGCTGTTAATCCTATGAGATCCAGTCAGGGTAGATGCACAAAGAGCTGGCTGGAGTGGAGAGCTCTGCTTGGAGCCTCACTCCTCTGACAGTGGGAATGGGCCAGCCACAAAGCTGCTGCCAATGTATTCAATCTCCACGGCAATGATTGAACAACTCACTCTTTGCCTTGGCACAATCCACACAGAAGGCTTCAACTGTGGGGAAACTAGTGCTACTGAGGCTGTATCTGGTAACTATCCTTTCATTACTTCTCTTCTTAAACTATAATATAAACACAAACTCTGATTTTGCGTGAAACTCCATCCAGCCATGCAGGATACAGATCCATGCATCTCTTTGGCTGGTATATACCAAGCTATCTTTCTAGATAGGTCATGGCTGAGGAAGTGCATCATCCTTCCTTGCAGAGGAACTCTATGTCCTCTACAGCTGTTCCTATCTTGTCTGATGGTGACACAGCTCATTGTACTGAAAGAGTGTACAGATGCAGCAGCGATCTTTCCACCAGACTGAGCCAGCACAGCTGCGCCGCACCCATAATATGGCTCCTATGGCATAATCTCATCGAGTGTCTCACGCATTGCGTCTTCTACTATTTCTTGTACTGAAGGCCAAACCCAAGCCTCAATCTTGTTGTAAGATTGCTTGGCCATGGTGGTGGCGTTGGACAATCCAAGGAGAGTACAAAGCCGTTCTGCCTCAGCTGGACCATCTCCACACGCAGTGAAGGCTGTAACAAAGCAAACGTTGGTGGAATAGTCTCTGTTCCTATAAGTCCTCTTGTCATTCTTTCGGGATTCTTCGCCAAATGAAGTCATCTGTGGCTCCACCGTTGTTTGGGCACCACACTTCTGACATGTAAGTCTCATTATTGCAGCAAGACAGACAGTTTTGAAGTCTAACTGAAGTTTGCCCCTCTTTCCACATCTTGCACAAACAGCAGCACTGCTTATAAGTGACCGAAGCTGATCTGCCTCCACTATGTAGCGACTTGGATCAGGTACCTTTGACACACGTGAAGATTGGTTGCTATCTTCAACATTGGCTTCCTCTACTTGCGGTGAATTGGCTAAGTCAATGGTTTCCCCTTGCACTTTGTCCTCCAAAACTGGTGATTCGGTTGCTTGTGGTGAGTCTACACGCACCTTCTTTGTTGGTGGACCATTAACAAGGTTCTCATATTGCCAGTGGTCGTTTCCATTCTTCTTATCATAGCGGTTTCCACCTGTTTGCAGTTTGGCCAACTCCATGCGTAGGCGATTGTTGATTTCTCCACTGGAACCAAATCCAACCTCCAGGGAATTGTTGCCTCTGCCGGATCTAGTGCATGCATTTCTCTTCGTGCACTGCCTGGTTGCATGTGGTGTAACAAGAGGCTGTGTTGCAGGTGGCTTGTCAGACATGTTACCTATGTCAAATAGTGAGTCTATTGTGGGGAAACCATTGATCTCTGAACTGATCCAGCACGAACGATTTGGTTACATACAAACGCTTCTAACTGTCAAAGCCGAATTTGCTAGAAAAGTTGGTTTTTCGATGCCACCTAAGGTGCGAGATTCCCTCTTCTCAAAATTCCTTTTTGGGTAAGGAGCGACTGTTCTGGTGTCGAGCTAAAATTAACCACTAAACTAGAGAAAAGCTCGATTCTCCAATATCTGACCTGACCCAGTGAGATGGTTGCGTGGGGTCCTTAAAAACAAAATCATAATATAAAAGCAGAAGCCAGCGAATGTGTAAAGTTTACTCGTGGAGGCACCTAATCTGCTTTCAGTCTCATGATGATTTTTCGTTTCTCAACATGATCGTATTGGCTAGGATGGTGGTCCAGGATGCTCTTGATGATAACGAAAAGGAGGATAACTATACCTACTACTAGCTACCATTGCTAACAGTCATACCCAAATCCAATAGAAGCAAGATGGAGGCTCTAATCGACTGGAATCTCAGTTCTGAATTGTATGACCGTGAAGAACAGCGAAAGTTGCTGACGGCTGCCTACAGACGACGAAGGAAGGCGGGTTCCAAGCCAGAACTCATCCTTTTAACTGGCAGATCCGGAGTTGGAAAAACTGCTCTAGCCAAGTCAATGAAAACATGGGTCGAAGATGGTAAGTGAACGAGGAGGTGTGCAGCGTTTGATGGATGAATGAGTTTTTCTCATGTTCCGCCTACCTTGTGACACAGACTGGGGTTTCTTCCTGGCAGGGAAATTTGATCAGATTCAGACCCCACATGCCCCATTTATAGCTGCAGTGGAAGAGTTTGTCAAGCAGGCTTGTCTACGTGGAGACGTCGTGGTTGAGCCTATAAGGAAGGCAGTCCTCCAGGCTGTGGCTCCCGATATGGATATTCTGTTGGAAGCAATCCCAGGGCTGTCAGAATTGATGGATGGTACCCAAAGCAAAGATATCAATTGTCACGAAAAACTCCCTTCCGGGCCTTCCTTTGAAGTCGGGGTTGGTACAGAACGACATGCATACTTTGCTTCTGCATTTTGCCGTTTTCTTCGGGCCATCAGCAGCAGAGATCGAAATCTGGTAATCTTGCTGGATGATCTGCAAGTAAGTTGCTCGTCAACAGTCACCAAAAGCCACTTTATTTTTGCATATCTCAAGCCTTCTGTCTGCATTCCCAGTGGGCAGACCCAAGCTCACTCGAGATCCTCAGCAGTCTTTTGAATCCGTTGCTTCTGGATACTATGGAAGGATTGATGATAATTGCTACCTGCCGTGATAATGAGGTATCTTGCCACGACAATCTATCGGTTTTGCTTCGGAAAATAGAGGACATGGGCACTGTCATTACTGAGATTCAAGTCCAGAACTTGTCCGTCAATGCGCTGTCGGAAATGGTTTCCAGCGTTTTGGACCTCAGGGTCTCAGAATGTCTTCCATTGGCCTACATCATTCACGGACAAACCGGTGGAAATGTCTTCTTTGCCAAGCAATACATCAAGACTCTGCTGGAAGAGAACATTCTTGCAAAGGACCCATCAACAGGCAAGTGGATCTGGGATGAAGCAGCACTTCTCCTCACACTCCCGTCAGCGACCGACGGCCAACTGGATGAATTGGTAATCCAACTGTTGGCCAGAAAAATGAAAGAACTACTAGTTCCTACCGATGTTATGGAGGTGATGAAGGTGGCAGCGTGTCTGGGGACCAATATCTCACGAGATGTTTTGTGTCACGCGAGTGCCTTTACTCCAGCTCAGGTATCCTTGGCGCTCGATCTGGCCAAAAACAAGGGCTTCGTCACGTATGATTCTGAGAAAGGCACTGGGCATTGGGGACACGACAAACACAGGGAAGCGTGTTACTCGTTGATCCTACCAGAGGAAAAAGCAGGGTATCACCTTGAGATTGGAAGGTCGCTGCGAAAGCAGTGGCCCACGGAGACGGTGAAATCCAACGTTATTCTGATTGTCGATCAAATCAAGTGCGGTCTAGCTCATGTAGAGAGCATCGATGAAGGTGAACGGGATGATTGTGCCAGGCTTTTCCTACGTGCCTGCAGGGAAGCATCGAAGGCTTCAGCATTCGGCACAGCGCTTTCGTATGCCGAGTTGGGTATAGAGCTGCTGAACCCCCGTCCTTGGCGGGATCAGTATGGTCTTAGCCTTGATTTGCACAGCACGGGGGCAGAACTCGCTTATTGCACTGGAAAGCATGACATGCTGAATGTTTGGACAAAAGTGGTGGTGGCGAATGCAAGGTCTGTTACCGACAAGACTCGGGTCCTGATGACACAGATCGTTGCATGTGGGTCATTGGGCAAAATACGGGAAGGCTTGGATTTGACCTTGGACGTGTTGGGCATGTTGGATGAGCCTTTTCCGAGGCGCTTTGGGAGAATTCGGGTTCTTTTGGAGTTGTACATGACAAAGAGAGCACTCAGGAACAAAACCGAAGAAGACATTCTGGCCCTTCCACAACTTACTGACCCACGAGTATTGGCATCGATGCAGATCATCTATCTGATGTTCTCTTTGCTTGCAATGCGTAACTTGGACGAATCCGGACTGCCGGCTTTAAAGCTTGTCAACCTAACACTGAAGTACGGTCTGAGCCCTATCGGTAAGATTGGAATGTTATCGATGTCGTTGGCCGACCTGACCTGACCAGAGCTGACACTGCCATTCGTGCTACCAGCGGCCATTGCTTTCGTTATGTACAGCGTGACTCTTGTAAGTGCCTTCTATACAGAACCAGTGTGTGTTCGCCCCCACCTCACGCACTTTCCTCGCTGGAATCGTCTATTTTCATTAGGTAAGACTTGGAGAAGTGGATGATGCTGCCCGCTTCGGAAACTTGGCTATCACTCTCTCGCAGAAGTATCCTTCAAACCAGCTGGAGGCCAAAGTTCGTTACCTTTTCTGGGTCTCTATTCAGACGGTGGCATCTCCTTGGCGCTGTATGCTTGGTCCGATCATGGACTGCCACCAACTTGCTCTCCGCAATGGAGATACCGAGGTCAGAAATACTGCTGCATGACAGCATTGCTATTGTATGTCTGCTACTGGATGTTCTCACTGGCGTTGTCGCGGCTCTTGTCGCATTCAGATCGCAATGGTTTCAGTTGCGTTTCATAATCTCTTTCGGATCTTCTTTGGAGATCCATTTGATGAAGTGGTGACTGCCCTAGTGAAGATCGAACGCCTTTGTGTTGCCTACGGACAACTGAAAGTGTTGACTGTCACATCTTGTGCCCTTCAATTCTGTAAGAATATGCAAGGGTGTGCAAGAGACGCATTGAAGCTGACAGGGGATTCCTTCAATGAAGAGGAAAAGCTGGCGCAACTGAAAGCGGAGAACGTTAAGACCATTGCGTCAATCATCCTGCACCTGAAGTTTATGTTGGCAACTCTGCTGAACGATTATGATGCAGCCGATCGCCTCTATCGCACAAACAAAGGAGGCTTTAAGGATTTTCTGATTCCATTCTTCACCACCTACCACACGTTCTTGAGGGGTCTCGTCTCCCTCGATCTCTCCAGAGTCTCGTCTGGCCGTGCAAGGTCATCAAAGATTGCGGAGGCTGAAAGGATCGTCAAGAGGTTGAACTCATTAATGATTCACTGCCCAAACAACGTAGTGAACAAGCTTCACCTACTCAAAGCCGAACAGGAGTTTTGTCATGGCCGATACTCAACCGCGCTGTTGTATTATGACAAGAGTATTATCTACGCCGAACGCGAAGGTTTTAGCTTGGAGCATGCTTTGGCCTGCGAGAAGGCAGGTATCATGCTGCAAGCTGCCGGGAGATGGATAGACGCCAACAACTATCTTACCAAGGCATTGCATCTGTATCGATCTTGTGGGGCTCAGCTGAAAGCAGATCGAATTGACATGCTAATCAATACGAAGCATAGCCTGCCGGTATGAGATTCGTCGAAGCAGAAGAGTTCTTATCATGGCAGAGCTATGCCCTGCCACGGAGCATCACGCCCAGCCACTCGAGTCGAGTCGGGGACAGCAGCATTTCCCCTTACAAGGAGGCAATCCTATGGATGGACTTTGTTGCGTCCTACATTAGTTGCGCTGATTCTGGAGGCAGAATTACGGCTAAGCTTAATCTTCTTCGCCTGACCACGGATCAATGCCAGCTATCGTTCCTGACAGTTCGTTCTGGTTCAGATCCAGCATGTCCATCTGTTCGCCCAGTGCCTGCCATGTCTCCGGAATCGGGCCTTCCAACTCGTTGTCTGCGAGTGTCAGTAGCTTCAAAAACGATAATTGGCTCCATTCTGGAGGGATTGTCCCTGCGATATGGTTTCGACTGAGATCGAGGTCGATAAGATGACTCAGGCCCACCAGTTCGGATGGCAGAGTACCTCTCAAAGAACTTCGAGTCAAATTCATGGAAACAACACGATGCAAGTGATTACAATGTAAACCATGCCAATGGCAAACCTTTTTGTTTGTCTGGTGGATCCAATCAATCCCACCATCTTTCTTGCTGTGGGATGTGACCCGAGTTGTACGCTTACTGGCGTCACTTGGGTTTGCGTTGGGGTGGGTGGCAAAATAGAACACGGCCAATGCGTAGTTTTCCAGCAGTGACCAAGCTGTATCACTGGAGAATTTGTCCAAAGTCTTGTCAAACGTCACGATCCATTCTAAGGCTTTGTAAGCACTCGATTGCAGATTGTAAAAGTCATCTTCACTGCTTAACCCTGATCGTACAATCAAACCTTTCAAGGTTAGCCAACGTTCGTCGTTGGCCATGGAGAGTCCAGGAGGATGAGTTGCTGGGTGTGTATGTGTTATGTTTGTGAAATTGGTTCCTCCACTGTACTGAAAAGGACCTGGAACTGTAAAGTTGCTTGCATTGTTGGCTTTTGGGCCGTTCTGCCCCAGTGGCTGTTTGTTATTCCCTGACTTGAAGGACTTTGTAAGCGCGTCCGCACCAGCGGATGCTCCGTCTCCAAGGAGATCCAGTAGTGCACTGGTTGCATTATCTTGTGGCACCAAGGCTCCAACAGCTGCATCGACAGCCGATTCAGCAGCAGCAGGAGTTGTTCCCTCCTGAGCGAGGGAATCTGTTGGGGCAGCAGTGGGACTGCGGGATGCATGTGGAATCTTGGACTCTTGCAGCTTTGGCCAGACCAAGTGTATGATTGCCGGGACGAAAATGGCAACGAGCAAAATAGGCAAAACAAAGATGAGGATACACTCCACTGTTCTGGCTCGCAACGTCCTTCCCCTATCTTTTGCGAGAATGGAATCACGGCCCAGATTGGGAAAACTGTCTCCGAAACCAAGTCCACTTTGACTCTGGCGTGACTTTCGCCGTTGCTGTCCACTCCTTCGATACGGTGTCTTTGCGCCTGTTTCTCTGTCCATGAGGTTGACACTTTGATCGACCTGAAACTTTTCTCCAAAGCCTGCAAGGACAGTGCTGCCCAATCTTTCTTTTCGATTGCTTGATTCTCCAAAAAGGGAGTCTCTCAACGACTTTCCTCCAAAGAATTTCGCAAAGGGCATGGCAAACCCACTTTTCTTGGTGGGATTCACTGGTGAGGTTTTATCTTTGGTAAGTACCCTGATGGGAGAACCATGAGCAGAACCTGGTTCTTGAAAATCGTCTCGATCCATGTTCAAGTCCACAGTGGCCACTCCCAAAGAAAAGTCCTGTTGCAAGAACTTGGGAGGAGCCAGTGGATCATTAAAGGCAAAGACAGGGTCTGGTTGAGGAGCGAATGTGGTCTTTTTTTGGCTCTTTTCACTTTTGTCCTTCATTAAAAAGTCCATGTCAATGACAGCTGAATGAGGCTTGGGTGATACCTGCCGATGAGCGGTTGTCATTTGCTGCATGGCTTTTGCCATGTTGTCTTTCTCATCATCGCTGACCGATAGATCACTGTCATCATCTAATAAATTCGTCTTGCTTTGAGAAACTCTTCCTTGAGCTGAAATTCCTCTCCTCATGAAAGGAGACGAGGTTGAAGTTCTGCTGGTACTGGTCGCACCTGCCATGGCGCCGACAGCAGCCAGAGAGGCACCAGGACTATATTCAGTAGTAGCAGATCGTCTGATCCCTGGAGCTTTCGGTGACAGACTCCTTCGAGTTTTATCCTCGATGGTCCCTGAACGTCTTATACCAGTGCTGGTGGCAGTAGTGCGGTGGGAACTATTTGTGCCTAGGTTGCCTCGATGGCTTGTCCTGGAGGCGCCAGTGATGGAAGATGCTCTTAAAATGGGACCGGTGGCTGTTTCTTCTACAATTTCTTCCTCCTCGCTGCTGTCATCAAGAAGACTTTTACTCGCTTTCTTCCCTCCGCCACTGCCACTGCCACTGCCACTGCCACTGCCACTCTGCCCAGGCTTCTTGGAAGAGGATGACATGACCTATTTGCCAACCTCTATCCAAAAAGAAATGGTCAAGAAATTCTTTTTGATACCCCCTCCCAAGGTCTTAATCCGATTGTTGGAATCGAATCGCAGCAACCAACAATAGCAATGCTTTAACCAAAGAGAAGAAAATTTTCATTCAAGACTATCTCCAAAAAGAGAGAGTGTCTTGGTGTCCTCTGTCGATGCCTTGGTTGTGACTAGTCAAATCCGATGCTCAATTGTGTTGATCATTGCTTCATTACTGGTAATGGATGGAGCCTCTTAATTGATGAGGCTTGACATCACAATTGAGGATCCCAAGAGGATTTCTCCTCTTTTCGTCATGGTCAAAATGTGACCAGTGGCAAAGAGCTCTCGGACTGTTTGCGAGCTAAGTTAATAAGTCTCTGGATTCTCCCAAAGGTCATCCTTTACAGTCCTCTCACATGATCATGGGTCTTTTCATCCATCTATGACCAAAGCAGTCAAAGTAGATCTTTTCTCTTTCGTACAAGGCTACTGGATCTGGTAGGAGTACGTAGTGTACAGTGTACCTACTGTACCGGTTACGGTTCCATTTTGGGTCGATGGGGAACAGGATTTACGACACCACCGGTACAGTACATGACTTTGGGTCGGTCGTCGTTGGCAGTTGGCAAGATCAAGTGATCCGACGTGTCAACCATGGCCATGTAGATCTACGAGCTACTGTAGTACCTGGGACCTGGTACAACAATAGCTGTACTTACAACAAGTGCTGAAATGCAACGCAACTGATTGCTCACCACCTCGGATGCCGACCGTCCAGAAGACAAAGCCAACCTCGAGCGATCGATCGAATGGAGCAATTTTGACAACATACTTCAATGTGCAACAAAGGGGAATGAATCGTTGGGGCCAGCCTTGGGAGGAATACGAATAAATACACCTTACTACTTCTGGCGGTGGACGGTACCACTTGTGACATGGCTGCCTCCAGTTTGGGCAAATCGCAACAAGCGGGTGTCACGGTTGGTAGCAAAGCTTAGTAGGGCATGTGTGCTTCCTTGTGGTATCAAACAAAGCAAGAGCCGGCAAGGCAAGGTGCAGGAGTGAATGGATACAGAGTCGGTGACCCGTACTGATACCCTTTTCGGTGCAATGAGAGCACCTGCGATGCAGTGCGAGGAAGCGCAATAGCAAATAAAAAACTCGCTGCTGCTAATGCTGCGAACCCTTAGATAGATTCTTTGTTACGACCCAACGCACTCCTGGGTGCCTGGGTGTCTCCTTGCACCCGAAAGTGGTGGTGTAAATGGCCTTCTGGACTTGTTCTTGTTGAGCCCATTTATACAAGATACCATGTTCTTTGGTAGAGACGTGATCTCAATGCTTTTTAGAAGTTAAACACATTGCTTATCAAATCTAGCTAGCTAGACGTAAGATGCAGTCAGTTTGTCTTTGACAGCAGCCAACAAGCGGGCACTATTCTTTCTGATGTAGACAAGAAATGGCTGCATCATCAAAATTCGTGATCTCCCAAACTTGGCTGCCGACAAACCCCTGCTTGACGCTGTAGCCTTCATGATATCGCCTGCCCAGGAATGGTGCGCACCAGGGCACCAGTATGTTCCTGTACCCAAGGGAACGATACTCTAGAAGTAGAAATGAGCAGGCACTTTTAACAATTCAGCTTCTTCAACTTCTTCAGCTTTTCAAAGAGGAGGTTTCATTGAACCTGTAGCCACCATCGAAAGCTATTCCTACTGGTTTAAACAAGAAATTCGCATGGCAGCGCAAGAAGCAAGAAGCGTTCTGAAGACAACGGAAACAGTTCTGCCACGGGCACCAAACCTGGTGCATCTTGCTTTGACAACAAAAGCTGCCTGCTAGCTACTACTGACCTAAGTCAGTAGAGCAGAAAGAAGGAAAACACTCCGCTTTACGCTTGTGGTTGAGGTTGAGGGAAGAAACGAGATCAGATACATGAAGAGCTCATGAAGAAGATGGAGCAGAAGAAGTGGTGAAGCTTCCTTCCTTCAACGAGAAGAAACTACGTGGCCTGACTGGGCGTCAGTTTCTCAACGTCCACACGTGGCGAATTGAGAAACACTCATAATAAATAATATAAAGTTTACGGTTCGCTTACCCGGAAGCAGAATCGTCAGCATGGCTGTCTTTAGGTCAGAAACTGCATTCCTTGTCCCAGTTGTCCATCGAACTCTCTGTACAGGTTGGTACTCGTACCGGTTCAAGAAGATGCTCGACGAACAGGTTGCAGGATCTATTCCCTAGGATTTAAAAGCTTTATCAGCTCCTAATCCCAGGTGCTCCAACAATAAGACTTGACTTGTAGGAGAGAGGAGCTCCATCTTGCGAGCGCATAAGATCCCAAGATCTTTCTTGACTCAGCTACGCTGTACCGGTAGGGCTGTTGGAGCCGTTGGTGACTCAAAGCTTAGTTGGGCAGGCCACTTTTTAACAGTATCTTCCTGGCATTTGAGAAAATTCCCCAACTACTCAAAACACTTTGGAAGTGACTCACCAGTCCTGCGCGTGAATGAAACAGCCAAGAGCCCGTACTTGATACTAATCTGAGTAAGTGAGTCCCTAGTGAAATGATTCGATTCCTTTCCTTATTTTTGGGAGGCAGGGAAAGACTCAAAGGAATGGCCTACACTGTACCAAGTCCAAAGTCGTCGAAAGTTGCAAGCGACAAGCGACGTCAACTGAGAACACCAAGTGCAAATACGACTGTAATGGATTTAGACTTTGAACCACAGTTGCAGACCGGGAGCCATGGCCTCTATGATGTCATGGTAGACCACGTCACCCCCCTCGTACGGTGGAGGCGAGTACTAGAGTAAGTAGTTTGACAGTAAACAGGTGCAGCTCAGGTGCCCACGTCATACAATCCAGATCTTGCCACTGAGAGAGTGACCTGATGAGATCGGCCACCGTCATACCCTTCTCTGCATCCTTCTCAGTCTCGGCTACGATACCTTTCTTCAAATTTCCAAGTCTTTGCTTGACCCTACGGTAGCTTGGGCTTCGGCGCTGAATCCATACTCTCCACAACATTTGCTTCTTCATTTCGGAAATACAATCCCAACTTAAAACTCTGCCTTTGATCAGAGCAAGACCAAAGCTAGCTAAACGATGATCAGCTACATGAGCAACAAGTTTGGACTCTTGCTGGTCGCTGTGGCCGCCACGGTTGGCTCTGTTGCTGCCGGTGGGGGGCTCTTTACATACTATGAAACCCCGCTGTTTTCTCGGCAAGGAAACAAAGCCATGGTCATGGCTCAACATGCGGCTGTTGGTGTGGGTCCCTCGCAATGGCCCAACTTGATATTCCCTCTGGAAGTTGTCCCCACGGGCAATCAGTGTGGTGGCATTGGCCAGTCCACAGGCTTTGGACAGTCCCCAGTGGTGGTTCCTGTCAAGACCAGGGACAGTTGTGATGCAGATCTGACTGGATACCACTTTGAAGGAGGCACTTGCACTTGGGCGGACTTGGAGTTCAAGGTTGTTGTCAACGGAGTTATGGTGGGAGTCAAGCACCATGCTCACTGCAGTCTTGGGCGAATGAAGACACCCTCCAACAAGGACACTTGGTACAAGGCTGTTCAGTTGCATATCCACACCTCCTCCGAACACACTGTCGACGGCAAGTACCATCCAGCAGAGCTTCATGTCTTGCACAAGGAAGACAAGCATGACGAGCAACACCACAATGAGGACAGTCACCACAGAAGGACAGCTGAAGATCCACATGCAGTCCACCAGGAAAGCGCCGATGAAACCTTTGCCATGTTTGCCATGTTTATTGATCACAACGACCAAAACTCAACTCAAGACAACCCAGTCTTTGAGCACTTTCTCAAGGGGTGGGATGCTGCTTCGCGGCAGGCACACGAGTTCTGCGCCGTTCACCCCGACGGCAGTGGAAACTGGACCAGCAACTCTGTCCTGGAATCCAGACAAATGAAGCAACTGTGCCCTGCCGTTGCCGTTGGCATCATGCCTGACCAAGTTGTCTTTGATGACTACACTGGGTTGCCCAAGAACCAGCTGGCGGATTCGCTCGGTGATGAAATCATGCAAGATCAGATCCCAAACATCTATACGGCCTTGGGTGCGTCTGATGCTGGCATGTACAGCTACAGGGGAGGCCTCACAACGCCTCCCTGTACTGAGAGTGTTCACTGGACCTTGGTGGATACACCCATGAAGGCCTCCAAGGCACAGATTGATCGTCTCTACGAACTCATCCTTTGTTTCGTTGAGATCTCAACCTGTAAGCATGCCACGATTGCCAATGAAGCTGGATACACCAATCGCCCAGTCCAGGCGCTGCAGGGCCGCGTTGTCACCCACCGTTGCCCCGGCGGTCCCTTGTCAACGACCGTCTTGGAAGATCCATTGCCTCCTCAGTACGAATACGTCGAAACCCAGACGCGTCGTTGTGTCCTTGGAGGGGATGGAGGCCCACTTGGAATGTGTTGGGTCGCCCACTACCACAATCACTTTGCAATGCTCTTTCCTTGGTTTGTCATGGCCATGGGTTTGGTGGTATTCTACCTGCTCACAAGATATTGCCACTGGTTCCCATACACAGCAACCATGTTCTTGTTGGGTATCTTTATGGGTGTTGCCATTGTACGCTTGGAACTTACCGACCAACTCTCATCCAGTATTCGCATGTGGGAAAACATTGATGCACACACTCTTTTGCTTGCATTCTTGCCCGGACTGCTCTTCCGCGACGCCTACTGTTCCAATGTCTTCTTGTTTATGAAGGCTCTTCCGCAGTCCTTGTTGCTGGCATTTCCCGCTGTGCTGGCGGGAACTTGCATGACAGCTCTTGTGGGGTACTACATCCTGCCATATGGATGGAGCTGGCCATTCTGTATGACGTTTGGAGCCATTCTGTCGGCTACTGACCCTGTTGCCGTCAGTGCACTTCTTGGAGAAGTTGGTGCTCCACCTAGGCTTCGAACACACATCTCTGGAGAGTCCATGATCAACGATGGCAGTGCTATTGGTAAGTTCAGACTCGCTTGTGTTCTACTTACGTGGTTGCATCATGACTGGTTCTATCTGGGTGGAAGAAACTGACTCGACTCGACTCGTTGTGTGAAAATTGTTGCCCGCCAGTTTTCTTCACCATATTTTCGCAGATCTTCCTTTATGAGTTGGACATTCCCGGAGTTGGCACGGACATTGACATTGCCACAGGATTTGCTCTGTTCTTCCGCATGTCTCTTGGTGCAGTCGCCGTTGGGGTTGCGTTCAGCTTGGCACTGTTGTTTCTTGTCTACCTGCTCAACAAAAGATTCAACTACGAAGAAAGTATTGTGCAAGTCACTGCCACTGTGACCACTGCATACCTGAGTTACTATGTCGCCGAGGCTGTCTTTGGGATGAGCGGAGTTATCTCGGTTGTCACCTGCGGAATTATGACAAAATTCGTGGCCAGCAGTATCTTCAACGACCCTGACATGATGGAAAAGTTCTGGGTCATGCTTGAACACATTCTCAACTCTCTGCTGTTTGTACTTGGAGGAGTGGTGTGGGGCACCGTCATTTCCAATGCTGATCCCGATCGCCTTGATTTCACATTCACGGCTGAAGATTGGGGATACTTGGGCATTGTCTACTTGCTCGCAATGCTTATTCGTGGTATCTTGATCTTTGGCTTCTACCCCATTTTCAGTCGAATTGGACTCAAATCTGACATCAAAGAAGCTACATTTATGGTCTGGGGCGGCCTCAGGGGTGCCGTTGGTATTGCCCTAGCCATTGCTCTGGACAAGGAAATGATGCATGACACATTCCCTACTGACCCCCGTCGTAAATACACAAGCCAGCTTTTTGGCTTGACTGGAGGGATCGCCTTCTTGACTTTGGTGATCAATGGGACTCTTGCTGGTCCTATTCTCAGGAAGCTTGGCCTTGCAGATGTCGGAGAAGCTCGCCAGAAGGTTGTACAAAGATATAGGGCAGTCATCAAGCTCAGAATGCTTTCGGATCTAATTGAGCATCTCGGCCATTCGCGCTTTTCAGGAGTGGAGTTTGCAGTCATCAAAAAGCACATTTCTTTCTTTGATGACTTGACGGCAGATCAGATTCGGTATTCCGTCAAACACAACAAGGAGTTTACATCCCTGTTGCACTACAAGGAACCCAACTTGGCTTCGATGAAGCCCTTCATGACCGAAGAAGAATTCGAGGATATCACTGCTATATCGAAAATCAACATGGGGGCAAGGCTTCGGGCTGTTGTCAGTATGGCAAGCATTGCAAGTATGTCGAGTAGAGCGAGTATGAACTTAGAGGACAGCCAGAGGAGGACTCTGAAGCACAGTCCTAAGCTTGACTACTCTGTTCGTACCATGCGTAAAGAAATCCACAACGACGACGTAGAGAAGGAGGACGCCATTGAGCTGCGCAAAGTCTTCATCGAGCTGCTTACGAGCGCTTACGAGGACCAATTCAATTCTGGAGAGATCGATGTCCGTGATTCGATTCTGGTGTTCTCTCTGAAGGCAAGTCTAGAAGTAACCGCAGATTTGGTGACGCAGGGTCACCCCCTGAACGACTGGCATGCCGTAACCAAGGCCTCCAAGATTGTGGATTTCAATAAGTCATACTGTGGTTCTGGCAAACGGGGCGACGTCGAAGGAGGTGACAAGAATGGCCACGGGACAAACAAAAGACAAGCCAAACGACAAGCCAAGAAGACCAGAGCACTGGTGAAGCGTGTTGTCGCATTCATTGAAGCCCACCAACGAGCGCAGCAAGCTTTCAAGGACGGCTACTGCAACGGGCAGATGATGTCGGAGACTGAAGTCCTCATCATCGAAGAGAGCGAAGAGCAAGTCACGATAGCTCAGGAAGCTCTTCTGGGCTGTGGTCAAGGAGACATGAACGTTCACGTTGCCCATGTCTTGTGTTCGATCTTGTTGTCGAAGGCAGCTGATCTTGTTGGTTCCATCACACAAAAGGGTTTGCTCAGGGAGCAAGAAGCAGAAGAGTATTTGCACGCGATTGAGCACGATCTCACCCGTGTTGAGAAGTGCTACGGCGACCGTTGCGACCATGGACATCACGGTCACGGCCACGGCCACGGCCACGGCAACTCACTTGGCCACGGCTCGGGGCACACCTCTGTGGTTGCTGGAAAGTCGGATAGCCTCGAAAAAACCGGTGAAGCCAGCAGTGATTCCTCCGATCACTCGCCGCCTGCAACTAAAAGTCCACCGGTTCAAAAGAATGCTTCCTTCTTTCCCCTGCCTGAGGACGACGACGACGACGATTTTGGTTTGAACCTGTCAGATTCGGAGGAACAGGAGGAAATAGTTTTTACTCCAGCGCAGCCCACCAAGTTGGCATTCCCAAAGGAGGACGACACACTCGAGGATGGAGACGTCTGGGCATAGTTCGAACTGGTTGAACCTGTTTTACAATGCTACAGCCTCATGAATAGCTTTCCTCACTGTGAAGAAGCGATTTTGAACGGCTATAGCTAGCGGCTACTAGCTAGCTATAGAGCTACCACCGTAATTTTTAGAAAAAATTATTTGTAATACTGGCTGCATGGTTGCTGATGTTGAGAAAGTGTAGTCTCATGCGTTCGCAAGTCGGGTTCCCAGCACGATGTTGCAGCTGTCGGCGTCGTTCCTGTTCCATGCGCCTGAAGACACACAAGGAACGCACTCCGGGGAGGTAAAAGTGCCGTGTACCGATACCGGTAACGACGAGTAACACCGCCCTCGAGAGACAAAGCGTACCGTGGTACGGTACCTGGTACCGGCACAGCACCCACCAGATCGAATGGACGGTCCAATGATTGAATTCAATCAATCATGCGATTTGACTTGACGGTTTGATGAACGTTCGAAGATTGATTGTCTGTCTGGAACCTCGAGGTACCAGAACGAGCAGCCGATTGCGATTGTGTGGTTCATGACGATTGCTTGGATATCATACGGTACGGTACATGCATCCATGGTACCTGCTATCTCTGTGATGGATAGTGGCACTATGGTGCATGACTGTCAGCACCGTGCCGGTAGGACCGCTGAGGTGCGCGTCCTTTTTCATGTTTGGCCGTTGTGAACTCCCTAGAACTTCGCATGCCGCATCGACCAAAGTGGAAGGTGCGCATTGGGCTAGACGTTCTTCAACCCTCCACACCACGAAGACAACACTGAGAAGTGAGTTCATGGAGCGCGCACCCTGCAGCCACACCTCTATTCAACGGGCCCCATCGATGCGTAAGAGAGGCAGCTTGGTGTTGTTATTGTTGTGAGCATTGAACCAAGGCACTGAGCCTGTCTTCTCCCTGACAAGTCTGTCTCCCCGACAATGGTGTTCAATTGCTGTCTGGTACCATGCAGCGCTCAGATTCATGATGAAGAATTTGAGCGGGCAATGCGCCGTTCGAAAGACAAGAGTGATTACACCAGGTGGCGGCGGCATAGGTCCAAGTCGAGATCCAGGTCGAAACGAGACAAATCGATTGCAAGGAAGAAGAAGAAAAAAGAGGAGTTGGAGGCTGAAGCCAGAGAATACGATAGTCGTGAAAGTGAAGAAGACGAAGAAGACGACTATGATGACGACGTATCAAGATCGCCGCATCGTCCAGAATTCAGGAAACCGATGCCGGAAAAGCCGAATGAGTCTCCCTGCCTAAGAGAAACTGCTGGTTCTGTTCGGTCGGACCGCCATTCAAGAAAGAGTTCCAAGGAGGCTCAAGTGATTTTCCGTGAACAAAAGGAAGATGACCGTACTGTCAATACGAACAAATCGGAGGCTTTGCCTGGCAGTCTACCGAAAAGCATCCTGGCGGACAGCTTCTACTCGGATGACTCATTAGAAAATGGGGACCTTACGTTTGAGGTCGACTACGGTACCTCCACACCGCTGTTCGAAGCACTGGAGCTCAATGATTGGGGCAACGTTTTGTTTTTCCTACGGGCTGGAAAGTTCATTGCGGGTGGGACATTGCGTACCGATGACATGGACGACCCAGAAACGCAAGTGAGAACCTGGGTCCATTGCCAAGACGACAGGGGTAGCGTGATGTGGCGTCAGCTACCCTTGCATGCGGCCATTTGTTTGGCAGCCCCGTTGGTAGTTGTGCAGCGGCTTGTGGAAGTCTACCCCGATGCACTTGCTTGCCAGGATAGCTTTGGGAATCTTCCTCTCAACCTAGCTGCAAAGCTGCACGGCACCGAATCGTTTGTCTTCCAAGTGGTTAGCATCAAGAGTCAGCGTTGGCTGCAATCAAGGGAAGATACTGATGATGGGGAGGACGTAACAACAGTGACTACCGAGAGGACTGGGAGCGCGGTCCCGTCTACCGGAACACAAGGCCCCTCGAATGATCGCCCAATGACCCCTCTCGCTTCACCCACCATGAGACCCTTGGCGGAAAACGGACGAGATGATGGATGGAATCCTCCAACTTTCACACAAACACCGACAGCCCGCCCTGTTGATTCTGAACCGAAGGGGATAAACTTACCACAGGAGGGATGGGAGAACCGTTCTGGGATCCCAACAAACTCACAACAACCTGTCGTCACTAGACCCACTGTAGTAGACAATGAAAGAGAAGAACGCCATCCTGAGATCCTGTCCAAGACACAACCCCATTCAAGCTCTATTCTAGAAAATGCACGAGACGACTGGGAATACCGACCAGGGACACCGACAAATCTACACTCACGTGGTACTTCGATTGTCGAACATGCTCATGACGAGGGATGGGAGTTTCGCCCAGGAACACCAACGAAGCAAAACCGCTCTAGCGCGTTTGTGCGAAGGCTACAGGAGAGTTTTGACGCCGCTTATTCTTCCAGCGACGAATCATCGGACTCAGAATACAAACAGCTTTGTAATGGTTCGTTTGGAGATGATGATGCAGGCTTCCTGGACGATGAGAATGAGCTGGAGATGTACTATCATCATGGATAACAGAGAAATTGAGTCAATTGGGTTGTGGGAGCCAATATGTTGCGTTTTTCCCCGGTACTAATTTGTTGTTAAAAAGTGAGACTCAGAATAATATGCAGTCAAAAGTATGTAACAATGTACATGTACTTTAGCCGTCATCTATGCATAAAACAGAACAAGAATAAATACTAGGCCTTGAATGCTTCCAAGACAGCTGACGTCCACAAGACTTGCTGAGAAGTATAGATTGCTGCGCATTCGGAAAGCCACAAAAGATCAGAGGCCATCAAATGTATGGCTCTGGACCATCCCGCGTCATCATTCTCATCCAGTCGAGTCAAATCAATTGTCCCAATGGTAGTAGGCGATATTGCAAAGGGAAGACTGGGGAAGCTTCCACTGTCAGTACCTCTTTCCGAATTGTCGTCCTCCGTCTTGCGGCGGACATGCAATACGACCTGATGAAGCAAGTTGTTCCAGGCCCGGATAGCTTTCGCACCATTGGTCCTCGGATGTCCTAGATGATAAACTACTGCGTGCTTCTTGCCTTGGCCACCATCTCCTTCGTCGCTGCTTCCGCCAGTGTCCTTGTCGTTCTGGCTGTAAAAGATCAGTTTTGCACAGTGTGACAATGGAACAATCTTCCACTGCTCCGAGGGGTACTGGAATAGGGTACCAACGACGAGCAATAGCTGGGCTGCCAAAGACCAAGCAACTTGAACTTCATTCCATTTGAGATCGCCTTTGGGTCTGTACGCAAGCCTTAGTTCATTGATCAATGGGTATCGAAGGCCCCTTTCATCAACACGCAAATCGAGGAGGAGAGAGGGTAGACTGATATCAGCTGAAAGCTTGTCCACTTCAGCATCAATCGTATCAAGAAGCTGAAACATCTGAGCTTGGTCGCTGTTGAATGCTCTAGCTTCCAACTCGAGTGCATTTCTTTCCACCTCTAATTCATATTCTGTTTCTGCAAGTTCTTTTGCCAAGTTCATTTGTTCCTCCTTGAGAGCCCTGAGATGTTCAGCTTCAGCTTCTTGCTGTCTGCATTCTTCTTCCAAGAGTTTGATCTCATCTCGAAATGCTTCTTCCGCCGTTTGCAAATTGTTGGGTGCTGAAGCGTCGTCCTTGCCGCCACTTGGCCCCGAAAATGAGACACCTCTGAGAGCCTTTTCCAGGCTCTCATGGCGTTCTTCCTCTTTTCGCGCTGCCTGGTCGTACATGTAACATTCATTGATGAGTCTTTCACTGTGTGCATCCACGGCACAGGCCACGCTGTACCAGGTAACGCAAAAGAGAGGAAGAAGACAAACAAGAAAATAAGATCAGACTTTCTGCATACGGTAGACTACATGTACCAACAATTTCTTCTTCTCTCTGCGTCTCAGCGTACCGATTGATACAGTCTGCACAGAGCCGAACCCCATCACCTCCATTCTGGGCAGCAAGATTCAATTCGTTCAGATGTTCACATTCCAACAAGAATTTGGAAGAAGCTGCGAGTGACAAGGCAACAGATCTCTTTCGGTCAGTCGGAGCACTATCATCCCCTTCAACAGGTTGGTACAAGTGCGCAGGAAGATGAACAAACGATGCGTCGATGGCTCCGGCTTTGCCAGTCACAGGTTGCGTGACGGGGAAACCATGAGGGCCCAAAAAGTGCCCACAAGTGCAGACCTCTTCTTCTTTCTCCTCCGAATGCTTGGTCTCGTCGTCCATCGTGGGGAGTGTTACATGTACTGGTATCCGTATAGCAGCAGTTCCTTGTGGCTGGGGTCTGGGGTCTGGTGCCATGATGGTTGGCTGATGGAGGCCATCGTGGTGTTCTCTTGTTTCGTGTTTGACGTGTTGTATTATTTTAAAAAAATTGGAAGTCTTTATGAAATAAATGAGTAAAACTTACTTAATTAAGTCACTTTTTACTAAAATCGTATGTAATAAATAGGTTTAACAAAGGTGCTTTAAACTTCAAAGCATTAGGAGAGGCGCAGTTGCACAAGCTGGGTACCGGACGCATGGTGGGCCTCTCCACTTGTCACTCTCAAAAGTGCAGGCAGCGTACGGTATGACTGTAATGCCAAGATCCTACATGCACTATTACGTGTCCAGCAAGCTAGCTGTAGTAACTTTGAAACTTCAAGATCAACATGTCCTGGAGCACCTAACATTCTATCAGTACTGTACTAGCTAGCTAGAGGAGCGGCAGCCCAGTCCTGAGACCCAAAAGAAGCAAATTCCAGCGGAAACTCATTTCTCTCCATGGCCATTCAAATGCAGCGTTGCAATCGCTTCATCCATAGATGCCACCTTGCATTCACACCCCCAGGAGGAATAGAGATCTCTGGCTTGTGAATAAAAGACAAGTGCCTTTGACCTTTGGTGACCATATCTCTCAAGCATCCTTCCAGCCATTTCATTTGCCAGACCACCTTCATTGGTGTAGCCATTCTTTGCAGCATACTTGATGGACAACTCATACCGGCAGAGGGCATCATCATGATGGCCCCCATAAGCAAGGATTTCTGCATCCAAAAGGTACACTTTGTGAGTCACAGTTTCAGGACAGTCTGCAACCATGGATCTAAATTTTGAAACGATACATTGTGAGAACTGAATGTGACTCACTGGCACTTGCAAAGGGCTCGAATCTCTTAATGCCAACATACCTCTGCAATATTTTGAGACGGTTGCGTGCAACCCGAATTCTTCCACTTGACACAGCAACCAAGCCTTCGTGGAAAACATGCAGAAGTCCCATTGTTGGAACAGCTGTTCTGTTGTAGGGCAAAAATAACAGGCGCCGATCCTTGCGAAAGGCTTCAGCTGCATCATATTGATCATGGTAAATAGCCAGCATGTACTTCATGCATGCAGCACAAGCCCTGAACATGATTCTATGACTTTGCAGAGCTTCTTCCCCAGTTTCTACCTCATCAACATAATCCCCAGTTACCACCAAGGGTTCTTTTCCCTGGCCCATCAAATTCAAGCAGAACTGGTGGCAATAGGCAGCCATGGTGAAGGTCAGATCCTGGTTGTAGTCACGGCAGAGTTGCATCAGGTGATGCAAACGTTTTGCTACCGTTGAAATGGGATTTCCAATGAATATCCTGATCAGGGAGTACCATACTGCACAGAGGAAGCCAGCCTGTATTTGTACAAGAACTGGTGAGAATGCATCCTTTGTGATATCTGTTCAGTAGCGGGGTAGCTTACCTCCAAGTCCCCACACTTCAAGCCCAGCTGATGGCCTTTCATCAGATTTGGTAGGATGTCAGGCAATGGCACCTTCATACATATTGATGTGCCTGCAGTGACCAGCAAACAACGGGCCATCCATGGCTCAGAAGGATATTTTTCAAGTATACGGAAGCTTAGCTGTGCATATCGAAAAGCTTCATTGGTGTGTCCAGTCCTTGCCAATGCAGCTCCATAGAAGGCAAACGATCCACTACCTGTGCAACGAGAAAACAAGGTAAGTTGCCTTCAGTATACAACAAAGCCTGCTGCGGAGCGCTGCATCTGCGGAAAAGAAACGTACTGATGGGGCTCAAGCCATGCTTCAGTGTCAATTGTACCAGCCGCAGTGCAATCAAAATAGAGAACTCTAGTCGCTCCTGTTGCACCAAGTTGAACAACTGATTAATAACAACCATAGCTGAACTTGTTTTGGAATCATCGAGAGCAGGGAGACGCATGATATCGGCATCAGAATATCGCGAAAGCAGTAGCCTTGGGTTTGCACCAATAAGTGTTAGGACAGTACCGGTAGTGGAACATACAAGAGACTGGAAACACATATGCCACAGTACCCACCTTAGCTTGATAATGGCAATCACTATCCGTGGCACCGTTGGCTTCCGTGGAAAGGAATGACCCATACCACGTAAGATGTCAATGCAGTAATCAATGGCAGCTCTGGTTTGGAACCTGGCAGCCAAAGATGTGATTTTTGTGACCTGAGCTGTCAGCTTGTCATCTGAACCAAGGGCATTATCCAATATAGCACTGGTCAATTCATCCACCTTATCATGGTCACCACAGCAGTATGCCATTTCAGCAGCAGCGCTGTAAAGATCCAAGCTGAGATTATACTGATCTCTCCAATTTCGTCGGCCCAACAATTTGATGCCCAATTCAACATATTCCAAGCCAGATGTGAAGGCGGCAGTCTTACCAGCTTTTCGCCCAGCACGAAGACACAAGCATGCCCATTCTTCTCTTTCTTCTGGATCTGTCATTTGGTCCAACCCAAATGTAATCTGGCTGAGCACCACAGAAAGATTTTTCTTGACATTGGAGGGTGTGAGTTGACGTCTGAGGTTGCGCCCAATCTGAAGGTGATATGTTGCCTTGTCCTCATCAGGAATAAGAGAGTAGAAAGTCTCCTGGAACTTGTCATGATTAAAATGACCAGTCCCAGCCTCACAGTCATAGGTTATGAAACCCATCTCCTCTGCAACATCAAGTGCAAATGACACTTGTATTGCCGCAGCTGCCCCGGAATGACACAAGAGGTCCTCCGAGAATTCTGTTCCCAAACAAGCCGCAACCTTCATGACCTCCTTCACATCTGAGGAGACTTCTCTCATCTTGTGCGAAAGCAGTGTTACAATCAAATCATTATTGTCGTCGTGTCCACTTTCTTCTAGTGACAAGATCAATGCATCATCTTGCCAAGCCCATTTTCCCGGTGCCCCATCATGGTCCCCTGTGTGATACAGAATACCTTCCTGCTTTAGGCTGCGAAGATACTGGATGGAAAAGAAGGCATTTCCTTGGGTCTGTTTGTACACCACTTCTGCCAGGGGCTGACTTTCTGTTGAGGATAATCCCAAGACCGAAGAGATCATTTCATTCAATCCTTCCGGGCTGAGATTGTTGACTTGGATATCATTTATCACAACTCCCGCATCATCCAACTTCCTTAGAACCACAGATAGCTGGGAATACACAGCAACTTCGTTGCCTCTGACAGTCCCAAGGAACAAGAAACCTGCATTCTTGTTTTCATCTGGTGTCTCATTTGCCATTTGGGACAGGATGGTCAGTGTGGTGTCATCAGCCCACTTCATTTTTAATTTTTAAAAAGAACGACGGAAGAGTGAGCGAGACATGGCCATCGACAGGTCTTGGCATTATTCTTACACTTACTTGGAGATCATCAAGGAACAAAACGATCGGTCGTTCTGTTGGATATTGAAAAATTAGGTATAGCGACGAGTTAAAACAACAATGATACCGCTTAACACCCCAAGCAAGCAAACTACGCGAACGACTTACCTGGCGAGGAAACACAACGCAGAAATCGTCTGTAGACCGAGGCCACTTTGGAAGGGCTATCAGAGAGATCAAAATCCAAGTCCCGACTGGTGTGCGAAGAAGAGTCCATGCCGGTACTAGTAGCAGCTTGTTCTTCTCGTTTGGAAACAATTATTTTCCATTCCTCCGGCGTCAGTAGCTCTGCCATTTCTGGAATGATTTCCAATAACAGGTCAATTTCACCTTGCCCCAATTCGGCTTCAATGGCTTTTCGTACCATTTTTGCCTCTTCATCCCCGCGGGCGACAATAATCCGGGCAAAATGTTGAAAAGCTGAAAAGCATGGAGAGCTTTCGGTGACATACTGATTCTGATCGAATTTGCCTTTGAACATGAGTCCTCCGTCAGCCTTGACGTGTGGCAGCAATGTCTTTGCTAGGACTGTCTTGCCTGTTCCACTGGCTCCTGTGATCAAGACAATCTCAGATTGTTGGATACTTCTCTTGTAGGCTGCCATCAGTTTTTCTTCCTGTTCCTGGCGGTCATAGAGAGTGGATCCCTTCCAATCGATGCGCTTTGCCTTGGGCGACAATCCATGGTCACGAGACCTTCGACGAATGTGGTTGGGGCCTTGTTGCTCTTTTTCGTCATTCATCCATGGGGAGCCCATGTTCGTGCCAACACCGCTACTAGTACTGATCGCTCCAGATTGCATGGCTTCTGGCCCTTGATACAATACCAAACGAACGAGCCAACACCAAGTTTGTGGGAAACGGGACGGAGAGGGTTGCAGATCTCGAAGTGACGAATAGTAGGCGAGTAGGCAGCAGTCGACCAAAGTCTGTGGACCCGTCTACTAGCTCGGAACAACAAGTAGACTGGCTACCTACTATTAGACTAGCTAGCTGGCAGTTCACGTTGTGCTTCACAAAGAAGAGAGGAAATGTGCTCAGCTCACTTTCACTTTATTTATTTCATAGCCAGTTCTTACGAATAATGCTACTTTCGCCATTTTGATGATAATATTTCCGACAAATAAACGATTTAAAGCAATATTTTAAATTATCTAAGCGTTTTGCTTTTCTGTGTTTCCGGTGTCGCAGCGAATGAAAAGCCTTCGACTTGCCTTTTGCCTCACCCCGAACTCAGCGGAACCCTTGTTCGCCGTGGAAGGGCTCCGTAAGTTGACGATGACTTCGTCTGGCTGCGGCTGCGCTTCTAATACCGGGGGGTTTAGAGTAGGGAGGTTATCTACCAAAGCAAGTGAGGGTCAGGAAGAGTGGGCATTCAGGACTAGTTAGGCTACTAGAGGTTCTGTGGGAGCAGGGGAAATAGATTGAGGACCGGCCAAAGGGCTTGGCTTTGCGGGATCCACGGCGCCTCTCCTGTGTTCTCGTGGACAGCAAAGGTACCTGGTACCAAAACCTGCTGGATACTCTTTGTGGGGCACCATGTTCACGGGACATGTAGAAGTAATATCAAAATACAACATAATAGACTAACTGCATTAATCGAAATCGACCCAGAGGACCTGGATGTACCGTGAACCAACGTCTGATCAACCAAAGAAATAGTTCTTGTTGAGGTATCTCTCGGCTTCGTTGAAGAGTTGATGAGGTGGGCATGACAAAGACTTTCTGCGACGACCCCGCATTCTGATCCGTTCGCCCAAGGGCACCACAGGCACGGCGTCATCTTCAGAAGCGTAGGAGGATCCTTCGTCCATCGAAGTACCATCGTCCGTTGCAGCATCTGCATCCGCATCCTCGAGATCCATTTCCGATGAGAAAAACAGACTGTGTTCTGGGCACGACAAGGACTTCCTGCGTTGTCTTCTCTCAGTGCGCTTGCTGGGGTCAAGATCCTGTTTAGTCGGCAGCCCAAGGATAACGTCGTCGTGCTCTTGGTCGCCATCCTTTCGTGACGAATCTCCTTCATCGTTAGCGTCTTCAGCAATAGCACCCTGCTGCTTCTCAACATCATCCTCATCAAAAGATACATGCTTCTCGGTCTCAGCCTTTTTGCGAGCCAACCACTTTCGGACGGTGGCTTCATCGCTATCTATCATCACCAGTTCTTCCGTTGTGAAGATCCTCGGGAGGACGTAAAGCCTGACCGGAATGCACAGAGCAATGATGATGGGGAATGCAATCGCAATGGTCTTGATTGCTTTGACGACATACAATAAAACGAATAGACCCAGTTGAATGGCCGTAAAGAGACGCATCCTGTTTGGCTTGACGTATTGAGTGTAGGGCTCGACCGGATACTTTGAAGGTTGCATCAAGAACATCTGGACGCGCCCGAAAAATTGGTTCGTTCCGAGAGAAACAAGCCCCATGAACAAAAAGACGCCCTGTCGATTCAAAGATGGGGTGTGAGATGGAGCAACGAAAAGAGTGCCCGGAAGAACCGGCGGAGGGACGTACATAGAGAACTGGCATTGGGATAATTTTCAAAATGTTCAAGGCAAAAATGGAGACAAAACAGAGACCATGAATACCCAGATGAGTCAGTCGGGTCTCTCTCACCGAGACGATTTTCCCTTGTGGCGTCTTCTCCGCAAGTGCATGTACATGATTCAACGATCTGACTGTTGCAGCCACCAACCACGGGAGCCCGAGCTGCGGTTGAACAAAGCAGTACAGGGTCAGGCTCCCAGATCGTGCACGTGGCCTTCCAATGGCTTCTAGATAGACGAATGGAACTTACCAGTGAATTGACGAGAATCATAACTCCAATGATCAACGTGTCATAGTTGTAGGCAGCTCCGTGCGTGAGCTTGTGGGAGGGATGATTGATCAAGTGCCACGTGATACCGTCATCGAGAAAAACCAAGATGAATGCAAGGATTGCGGGACCTGCTGCCATGAGTGGCACCCACCCCTTGCCGTTGAGATCCCCGATATCCACAAACCAACCTCTCCTTCCAAATGGTTCGGCAAGGTCGGGGCAATCGTCGGGCCAGTTGGTCTCACATGACTCAGTGCAGCAAGCATAGGTTGGTGCAAATGAATCTGGTACATTCTGTAAACAAGTTGCCAGGAAAAAGGCCTGAGTAGGGGCGGGAATAAAGTTGCGTTGGATGCAGCTTGTGAAGCACTTACCAGTGTTTCTGTGGGGATGCTCTTGAAAATCACTTGATCAACAAATGTCCAAAACGCAATAGATGCGACAACTGCAAAGTCGGTGACAACGTTGCCTGTGGACAGTTGGAACGGAGAGTGAGGCAAGTTGAACAAGTGACAAGATGCGTTGCAATGGTGTAGGTGTAGCGTGCCACAAGTTCGTCTTACGCATGGTTTGATTGGGTAAGAAGGGAGAGAACTTGGTCTTTCGCAGCGCGAAGGCAGTCTGGACAACTCCAATACAAAGGAGAAAGGATAGCAGAGCGGCAGCCAAATAGTTGTAGTCTGGATCGTTGGCGTGCTTCTCATGTGACTTGTGATCGGGCTGAAAGTAGTAGGCCAATCCAACGGTTGCAAAGGGATTGCCGAGAGCATTGATGATGAAGATGAAAGCAATCAAGAGAGCGAAAATCTCTGCCCAGCAAACGTTCGCATCAGAACACAGTAGAATCAGGTGATGATTTGATTCGATGCCTTTGTAGGCTTCAAGTTAAGTTCACATACCATCCGTGAATCGCGTAGCATAGACGATGATGCGATTGAGATCCGTGAAAGCCGCAAGGCACATAAAAATGCAAACCCCTTCAAGAAGGATGCGTTAGAAGAGGGGCAGGTGTGTGAGGTCGCGAGGTTCATCTGCGGTTCCGGGAAGCAACCGCAGCTGAACTTACAAATTCCGACCCAACAGTTAAACGTAAGGAAGGGGACATCAAGGGACTCTGACATTTTGAAGATGATCTCGGTGAAAGCTAGCACAGGTCCCTGTCGGATATGCCGGAAAAGTCGAAAGAAACAGAGCATGAGTGCGCGCAGTGACCGATAGTCTCGCTGTTCTAGCTAGGCAGTACTTACAGTACCGCCATTGATCATCATGGGCTGACCCCCAATCAGCGAGTAGACGATGCCGCACCAGGCCGTGGCAGTGATCATCTCGACCGCACCAATCCAGTTGTGAGTAGCCTTGGCGTAGATGGCGCCGAATGCTGTGCAGATGAAACAATGGAACACGAACGTTCGTCAGTACCGTACTCTCATACCCTCCCTCCTTCGACGATTCAACGCTCAATGACTTACTGATAGCAGGAGCGATGGCTGCAAAGAAGATAAAGAAGGAGACGGCCACAGTTTGCTGATTAAAGTTGGTCATCTCTTGCACCCAGTGTGTGCCCACAGTACGCTTGAAATCGGAAATGATGCCTCGTCCCCAGCCTCCGCCGGACTCGCCATGTTCCGCTTCCTCCTCCTCCTCTTCTGCTTCGAGTAGAACCAACGCCTCCGAGTTGTCACCATGATGCTGCTCGTTAGAGTTGGTGGTTACCGTTGTCAAACCAGAGATTTGCTTTTGGTGTCGTAGGCGCTCTTTGCCACCAACCTTGTCATTCACCTTGACCGGGTTCTCATGGTGATCGAAGTGGCCGCTGGTAAAGTCGGTTTCAGAGACCTCAATGAGGTCAGGAGCAGAGTTGGAGCGCTGCATTGCTTGTTTCTTCCAAGTTGATGTTGTGGATGTTTCGATAGTCTACTTGTTTTTATGATACCTTTTCGGCATTTGACTCAAATCCAATGAGGGAGAAAGTGCATCACATGCCGATGAAGCCTGCCAATTGAAACGCTTTAGCTAAAGATCTCTCCGCCCCGCCAGAGAAACTCCAGACCTTTGACACAAAGACGTTCGGGACGTGAACCCTCTCCCAAGGTCAATGGCTAGCGAGGCTCGAGAGGCTCTTCCCATCAGAGCTTCGTTTTGCTCACCAAAATCTTTTTCTTTGATGCCTCTTTTTCAATTCACGAGAAAGAAGCTCTCGAAATCATTGGTACCGCATGACGACTGCTTATCCGCCCCGCTCTGTTCTTCGCAATGTCGCAGTGCCCTTGGCATATTCCCTTTTGGTTCTTTTGAATGTCACATGCAGAATTTCAATAGCTTCTATCCTAACTCTCTAAATGTTGTACCAGCTGGTACCGCAAAGGGTTCTGAGAAAAGAGAATCTTTGATCTTTGGATCCAATCATTCGATTATCCAATCAACATTCGCGTTTTTGACATGGGTTCTGCTTCCTCTGAAATAATGCTCTTTTTGGTTGCTTTGAGTTATTATAAGAGTTCCAATGCACATTGCTCTCTTCTCGTTCACGGTGCATGTGCATGTAGTCTTCGAATCGAATCAGGCAACCCCACAAGCAACCTGTTGCTGGCTACATTGTAGGTGGTAGCGGATACGGTCCTGTTTTGACCCTTGGGGTTGGCCAAGTCTTCAATTCGGGACCCTCTGGAGGGTATCACCGCTGGCCAGCTACCGGGTACCTCCCTGTTGGAGTGATAGTGGAAGCCTTGCTGAGTTGTAGTAGCGTAGCACTGTCCCCTCGGCATCAATTGCAACTGCTATCCAGCTACTCGAGTGAGCTAATAATTACTCAAAAATTCCATTGTACGGTGCCACGAGGACGGCACTGCAGCTTTGTCATTCTTGCCTAATCAGAATGGAACATGCTGCACAGGATGCTCTACTAGTACGCTGTACCCTATCGGAGACATACCGGTAGCAATGGCCACCCACTAGCTAGGTAGCAATACGAAGGAACCAGATACAGCTGGACGCGATAACACCTTCCCCCTCCTGGGTCAATACATTCTTGACCCTCAACCTACTAGCTAGTACTACTAGTAGTTTTGCCAATTGCTCGTACGCTAGGTACCTGGTACCTGGTACCCGTACCAGTGCGCGCTTCCACACCTCGAGTCTGAGCTTTGTAAGTCGAGTGACGAGTGTCAGTCGAGTCGAGTCAGTCAGTGTCGAGTCGACCGTTGGCCGCATAATCAACTCCCGCGATAATTCATTCCCGCAGCCCACACTACATCGTGCCGACACTCATGCTCGGTCGAGAGGGGTGGCCAGAATTGACTTTGTTGTTGCTCTTTGCGAGTTTCGCACATCCTGTAGACTAATGTTATCCGGCATGTCGTGCCGGTGTTGCTGAATCCAAAGCTGAATTCAATCTGTTCTGCTTCTTTTCGTCGTCAGTGCGCACCTACCCCAGCGTGCCAGCATGGGAACTGAAGGATGAGCCTAAGTAGCAAGAATGTAATATCGCCAAGGCTCTTGGTTAGTTAGAAGGTATCGCCACAACGGAAACTAGAACCATGGTATTTATAACTTCGATTAAGCGCAGATTCTCAGGCCAAGGATGCCCATCCCTTGCGATTTCTTTGCCTAAGCACCATAATCGACGGGATAGCTAGTTATCCATCAATCCGTTTCAACTGGCATCCACCACAATTCCCTTGCCACCACAACCGTTCTTTGTGCTTGTCATCGAGTCTCTCAGATAGTTTTGTTCCCTGTGCCTTTCCAACAATGGTGTTTACATCCCCAGTAGGCGGCTGCTATTATGGAGTTCTTAACGTGCTCGATCCGAGTGTGCATTACGATGCCGATGGCAAAGTTGTGGGCGTCCTGAAGCTGCCCCCAGCTGAACCACGGGGCCATGGCGGTATGACCCATCGTCACCAACAGCAGCACCCGCAGCAGCAGCAAATGCATCAACAGCAGCAGCAGCCGCAGATGCATCAGCCGCAGATGCACCAGCATCAACACCACCAGCTGCAGCAAAACCAGCACAACGTATCATCTCCTCGGAACGAGACCCAAGATTTCCGAAGAGACTCCAGCGAGTTTCGGGAGGTGCAAGAAATCATCGTGGTTGAAACTGTGGAGTCGACGCAATCCCCTCCAGACCAAGAACCACCCATCATTCGAGAGTCAAGCGTTGACATTCTAGATGTTACGGCAGTAGAGGACCCTGGCCCGGACTTCCAAGTCCTGAAGAAAGTCGACACGTTTCCTGAAGATGCAGGGTATAATGCTCGTCGGCCAGTTCCTCAGCCCATGCAAGAACCAATCCCGCTTTTTGATGCCGAAGAAATGACTGAACCCTCAGTTAAAACAATACCGGAGCCTACAGATGCTGCGGTTGAAAATGCCATTGGACCGGGCACAGGAGAGGCACTTGCGGGTACACCAGAGCAGAACACTGAAGGCCCGACGGAATCGAGGAATGAAGAAACGGTCGAAGCTGCAGTTGAGGATCGAGAACAACTCCCTGAAGAGGTTGCACCTACAAAGGAACCAGCCGAAGACATGGTTCAGGAGGAACCCGCAACTGAGCCCAATGCTGATGCCAACACAGAGACCGAAGCAGAGAGAAACACGGAATCCACAGCGGAGGCCAACACAGAAGCCGCCGTCAACACTTCGACAGAGCAGAGCAGTGACAAACCCGTGGAGATAGAGGAAGACGACGGCGTGGTAGAAGAACCTGCAATGGGATCTGGAGCAAACCCCGCCTTTGTTCCACTATCGCAGTATCAGGCCCCAACAACACAGACTGGAGCCACTGTGACTCCACCACCTGCTACCGGACAAGGCACACGTGCAGTAACAGAGCCGGCTCCAATTTTTGTGGACGACCAGTCCTTGGTGCAAGTCGTTGACTACAGGGAAGCCACCCCACTCTTCAGAGCTGTCAGTCAGAAGAACTGGCAAGGCATTCTTTACTACCTCCGCACAGGGTCGTTTTCGTTCTCACCGCTGTCGTCTGGAAACAAGTCGGCTATAACGAAGCAGGCCCAAACCTGGGTGTCCAAGAGGGATGTGAACGGCAATGAATTGTGGCGTCAGCTTCCCTTGCATGCGGCCATCTGCTTTGGAGCACCCATGAAAGTTATCGAGAAGCTGCTTGAAGCAAATCGAGATGCACTTAAAAGCCCTGACTGCTACGGAAATCTTCCCCTTCATCTTGCTTTCATCTTTGATGCAAGTGATCACGTCACTGCGTACTTGATGAAGGCTTTCCCTGCTTCGATTCACGTAATGAACTTTGAGGGCCTTCAGCCCATTCAGTGTTCCAAGGAGATCTCCAGTGAGATTTTTCAGTCCAATGCAGAGCTCTTTGGGGCTTTGTCAGACTACACAAGGGCGGTGGCGGAGAATGACCCTGAAAAACTCATTGAACAGCTGCACGATGTCAAGACTCAATTGAAAGCAGTCAACGACACACTTTTTGCCCAGGCCCCACCGCGGAAACCAGAGCTCATCAAAGAAGTATTTTCACCAGAAGCGGTGAAGCAGCAGACTGCGATTGTTGCTGACTACGGGCCCGGCGCTTTTATGAGAGAAATGGCAGTTGCGGCCGGCATCTGTTCAGTGGCGCCTCTCGAAGAGGATGAAGTCCCGTCTGAAGCAGTAGCCTCAGCGCGAAGGAGTTTCCCTCCAAGAACCTTGACAGAAGTCGAAAAGCCACATCGTCAGGAGGTTGTTGTGCTTCAAGATGTCCCAACCAGTTACGAGCTCCCACCGTCATCTCCACAGCATCAGACGTGTCGAGTGATGGAGTATTGCCCAAAGACCAAGAGTTGGAAGGAAGTATAAGATTGTTGTATGTTGCGAAAAGAAAGTTACATGTTTTGGATAAGCCATGTGGAGAACATGCGGCTGTCTCGCTCCCGAAAGGGCTAGTATGAAAAAGGAATGCATAATACCCTCCAGTGGGTTTCTGTCTCTTTGTAGCGACTTGCAGTTGTGCAAAGAGTGCGGATTAGAGAATAACTACGAGTACGGTATGGCATACTTATAAGTAGTTTTACGTAAATTACATGTATTCACACACCAAAATCAAAATAAGTTGCCGAAATCAGCAGACGGATGCCACGAGCCGAGAGTTGAGGAGGTTGTTTTCCGTCTTCGCCGTGGATGTGGATGCCACCAATTTGTGCCGGGTTTCTGCAGTTGTGGATGTCACCTGGATCGCACTTAGTAATTAGAGCTAAATAGATGTCTGGCTGCCAACGGATAAATCTAGCTTCACACCTTTCGCTTTTTATCATTTCTGGTTTGGCCAGTCGAAGATAAGAATCCAATCTAATTGTCGATTTGACCGTACTCGAGTATAGAAGAAACGCACCATGGGAAACTTTGGCATTCGATCTTGTTGGTGAGCTTGCGCCAATGTTTCTGAATTTGCCGCAGAAGGACAATGGAGTAGAGGTTTTGCTCACTTTTTATCGTTCTTTTTCGCTCTTCTTGCGCACAGCTCCTTTCCCCATGGGATGACGTCGGTGTACGCCCTTATCTTAGGTCTCTCAGCGTCCTTGCTTGCCTTGAGCTCTTCGTGGGGGTGCTATTTTGTGCAAGTTGATTTTGTCTTGAAGCACAACAGTTCCAGAAAGATGGATGGCTTGGGTGGTATGACAATGGGTTTGCTATACTACGAAGACAATGGAACCTGTACATCGTACTCTGCGGAACAGATAGAAGACTTTGATGGCTTCTTCCGTGCAGCACGAGGATTTGCTCTCATGGCCAACATCGTACTCGGAGTATGTGCACTCATTCTCATGATGATGAGTTGCACGGCGATGCAATCCTCAGTGGTGACCTGGTTGAGTGGATTTATCCTTGTAGGAGGGGTGTTTCTAGGCCTCACAATGCTGGCATACTTTTCTAGCTTCATGTGTTCAGAGTGCCAATTTTTCTTTGGATCAGGACTTGCCGTCCTTGGAACGTTTGCAGCACTAGTAGCTGGTACAGTAGTCTGTCACATCCCTAACGTCGAGTTGTCAGATGATGAAGAGTGGGACGATATCGAGGATATTTCACAATCCAAACAGCTTGGAAGGCCGCCCACACCGCGGCATATTACTCGGGGGCTAGCGACTGTCGTGCCAGCAACACGAACCACATCTTCTGATGAAGAGGATGAATACGACATTCCCGACAGATTGACCGTGTATGACACAGAGGTAGTCTTAGTACTTCCTGACGGAAGCAAGCAAGTAATCGAACCACTAGAGCTGCCCAGCTGCAGAGTTCCAAGGCCATCTTGCGACGTTGGGTGCAGTATCTTTCCAGAGACACAATGAGCTAAGTGTTGGACCTGCGAATCTTCAAACTGGAATTTCCAAGTCAACGTGTCATCAATCTCCAGCCACTATTAATGAGAGTTGGAGGTTTGGCCGAGACATCCATAGAGAAGTCATGCTGTACATAGAGCTCTCCGCTGACAGTGAAAACAGAGGGCGCGCCGAAGAACCCCCACCGGTAGCAATTCAGCAATTTTGAACTTAACTGGCTGGTTGACTCGACTCTGTGAATCTTCTTTAGAAGCCGTGGAAGGCAAGGCGGAGCAGTAGAAGCAAGCATCCACCTATTTACTACTGAGTACTAAACAGGAAGTAAAACGTACGGTAGGTCCCAAAACTTTTGGGCTTACTAACTAATGTAGCTTTATTATCAGACACAACTATGCAGACCCCCCTCCACAGATAGATTTAGGATTTCCACTTCCTGATCAGACACAACAACTATGTAACCCCCCTCCACAGATAGACTAGATATAGGATTTGCACTTCCTGATGGTGGCACAGTTACTAGCTCTAGCTAGCTTTTGGTGCTCAGGATAGCTACTCGTACTGGTTCCAGTTCTTTTAAAAGGAGCATCTTAACTTTTCGTTCGTCCTATTTTTTGTATGCCCAGCTTCTGTCTCAAAAACAGCTCGCTCGTCGTGGACAATGCAACCTCTAGTGGTACAGTAGCTACATCTACTGTAGTACCGTACGGTACCAGTACGGAGTTAGTGACAGGCTACTAGTACTACCAGGTACTTCATAGGCTCATCGTTTCTTTCCAGTGTGTTTCGCCCTCCCCGAACATCAGATTCTATGCAAGTTCAGCTGGCTCCAAAATGCGCCTGCCAGAAACTACCACGAATGAAGTTCACAACGGGAAGCAGAACGAAAATCGCTAATATCTTCTCACTTTTTCAGAAAAAATCAGCATAATTTCAGGTCCAAGAAGAGACAAACTCTCTTGATCGATTGATTCTATTCTACTTCAAGCTTTGTACTTCGTTAGTTTCAACATGTCTGCTTTTGGTCCTCGTCCTCAATGGTTGCCAATTGTTCTGGGTCGCGAGTTTCCTTTCCTGTGTCCTATTTTCGGTGTTCTTGGTACACCTTGTGACAGGGAGTTGGGAGCATCTTGCACAAGAAATGAGCAATGTCGGTCGATGTGGTGCTACAATGACAAATGCTTTGAGCCACTGCCAGACAGAGCCCGCTGCTATGAAGATGTTGAGTGCGTCAGTGAAAAGTGCGTTGTCGTTGGAAACAACAACAACAACAACAACCACAGAAGGCTCGGAGGAACCAGAGAAAGAGATTTAGGAAACAACAATAACAATAACAACAATAATAATAATAATAACAACAATCGCAATAAGCGCTGCGCGGATAAAAAGCAAGAAATTGGAACTGTGAGTCAATCTTTTAAACTACTTATTGGTGTCTGCTATCACTTTCCCTACCGGTATTCATTCTGATTGCCTGAGTCTGACGCTGTCTTCTCTCTGCTTCTTCTTGTATATTATATTGTGTGTGGTAGTATTGTGACAAGGATTCTGAGTGCAAGTCTGGAACCTGTATCTTTTATGATTGCTTTCTTGCCTTGATCTTCAACTGCTACAACATTTGCGTGCCTGCCGAGGGCACAGGACAACCCGGAGACTTTTGCTTGGAGGGCGTTCAATGCTCAAGTGGACTCTGTGCCTTTGCCAATGACGTTGGGTAAGTCTTGCAGAAGACTGTGTGCGACAGTAACATTATTCTATGTATGTGAAATCGCGTCGAGGCCTTCTTACATTCTTCGCTCCCTTTCTGTCACGACCAGTGAATACCAGTGCAAGGAAGAACCCTTGGGTATCCGTGAGAGGCAACACAATAGAAACAATAACGGTCACAGAATGATGGTGGACGGAGGAGATATGATGGATCCATTTCTTCCGGGCCCGAACTAAACTAACTTGAACTGCAGTTCATGGAATGAACTGAGCATGATTCGATCCTGATTTGACCTGTCAATGATAGTCCACCAAAATTGGAAGGACTGTGCTTTGGCGAACATGCTGCGTTGCTGCTTTACAAGCGCACCCAGGTTTATGATGGAAATGTATGTATACCGGTATCTGTGCAAACGATGATAATTGGCTACCGTACCCACAACGAGAGAAGTAACAATAGTACTACGACTACTACTAGTAAAGACGGTGTTGTTATGGAAGCTAAGTTACCAGTAGTTTGTGGTTGTCGCGCAAACGTTTTCAAGTCTTTGGCGCTGTATTCTATTCAAAAAAATGCCTAGTGTCCATGCCACCCAGCTGCCGCTGGTTGCTTCCAAGCCATAACCATTTCCCTTTGGCAATTTATGGGCTCGATGAAATTTGGTTCCCCGACCAGAGGAAACAACAACAAGAGGTTGACTGCGAATTTTGTATGCATCATTCATTCGATCACGTAGTAAAAATGAAAATGTACTGTGTTATGAGTGAATTACAGAAGGAAACGTTTGATTGATGCTGCCCAATTTTGTCATGATCGAATCATGCAGAAAGAAGAAAAGACGCGACAATGCGTGTCGCAGCCACCAATTCCAAACAGGTGCTGCGATGCGTCAGGTTTCGCTGTCCCAAATTGTTTTGTCGAGTGTCTTTTTGGTTGTCGTCTTTGTTGTTTTTAAAAAAGCTGCTATCAATGAAATGACTCACTGGTCAATCTGAATTCCGTGGTCATGCCTTCATTTCCCGTGAGTGCATCCATGACGGCATCGAAAGCGGCCTTGTTGACTCCTTTTTGCATGAGATCTTCGTCGTATTTGAATCTGTAAAAGTAGAATCCATCTTCGAACGGTTGATTTTTGTCGGTGACATTGAAGAAGCATCCATATTCTCGTTTCATTTTTCGTATCAATTTGACGGCGTCTCTTCTGGACACGACAATTCGTTGTTTCATGAGGACATCGACAGCCTCGGTTCCCGTGAAGCAGCGTGGATACATTTTGAGTCGGTAGTATCGATCTTGAATGCGAACGTATTTTTTGAGGACCTTGACTTTGTCCATCAAACTCATTTCCCAGGTGGTTTGCGCGACGTCACTGGGGACGTTGTTCTTCCAATGGTAGTAGTGGTACTTGTCGTCGGAGAGTTCGTGATCCATGGCCTTTAGTCGAAAGGCGCTTTCGAACAGCTCCAAGTGTTCCGCCATGGCACGGCCCACCATCAAGGCACTCTGCCGGGAAATGTCCTCTTCTTCTTCGTGCATCTCGTACAGCACATCCACCAAGACACCTACAGCATCTCTGCCCACAAAGGCGTCGGGGTACGTAATGAGACCGAATTTGCGGTCCTTGACCAACCCACGTTCGTGCATGGCCACTTGAAAATCCATCGCCAAAGACTCCAAGTCGTCCACCAGTCGAGACACCAAGTCCGTTGTTGATGATTTGGGCATGGTCTTGGATTGATTCGATTCTCAAATTCGCTTTACTTGTAACTGGCTAGCTAGCTGTGCTTTTGTTGTTGATTGATAGGTAAATGAGGAAAGATAGATGGATGCATTCGATCTTCTTTTGAGGCCATCTCTCAGAAACATGTGGCGAGGCATTCCAGACCTTGAGTGTCTTACGTGGGCTGCATCAGGCTGCATGCAGTTTGTCGGCTTCTTCTTCAGCATTCAACACCAAAAGATGAGACGCCTTACCAGTACGTACCGGTACCGTACAACGTATGTACCGGTACAACGTACGTACAGTACAGCACATAGTACACCCAGTACAAGCGAGAGTTAAAGGTAAATCTTGCCTAAGATGTTGCTTAAAGGGTAAATGGTTCAGCAACTTCCCCAGACGTTCCCTTTTTAAGCAAATTTGGCAAGAGCGTTTACTGGACTTAAGTGAACTTGACATGAAATGACTGCGAAGAAACCTTGAAGATCGTGAATGAGCCAGTCACACGATTACTGACGCACCAAGCTTGCAAAGATTGGTGTCAAAGCAAACCGTAGCCAAGAGCCAAGAGTCCGATATTCTTGCACCCTCCGTCGCTGTGGATTGCTCGACTACAAGGCATCTGCTTGAAATGGATTGGTACTTTACTGTATGGTACCCGTATCCACCAGTCCTCGCTGTCGATCTTACTTGTCTTCCATCATGGCAGCCTTTTTCTTTCGAGCAAGATTGCTACCGCTAATGGTCGCGCTCTGTTTCTTGGCGGCCCACGGATTCTCTCCTACTACATGTAATAGGTCACCCCCACGACGAGTCACTGCCCTGTCGTCGGCCACCACCACGGATTCGACCTCCGTAGGAGTTGGACCAAGACTTGCCATTCGAGAAGATTTTCCTGGTTGTCAACGAATTCATTCGGATCCCGACATTTTTGTCATTTCCGGCTTTTTAGATCCTGCGTCTTGTCAAGATTTGATTCGGCGTGCTAACGACAAGGGACTCCAACAATCCCCCGTGGCATATGCCGGATGGACGCAAGATTTCAAGGACCTCGTCGAATTGGCCGCCAAGGGTCCCGTCACTTGGTTGGCCATTGGAGTGGGGTGGTGGCAGACCAAAGATGACCCCACGGCCGGTCAGGTGGAACTCATTGGACACATGGTACAGAATTTCGTACTATTCATGGGATTGGCCATTGCAGGAATTGGACTCTTTACCAAATCACGGGCCGATCAATTGCAAGACCTGAGAACTAGTACCTCCACCACCTTGGATGATCTGAATTCTACAAGCAAGCAAGAAACACAAGGACCGTTGCAATTTGTACGCCGCACTGCCGAATTATTCACTCCTGGAAGCAGCAGTAGTGATTCTTTGAAACGACAACAACAGCAGGACGAGGCAGCCCTTTTTGAAGCGCCAACTGTCATTCGATACGAATCAAGACAAGTACTAGCGCCACATTACGATGCCAATCGGTCGGCCGCCACGGAAGATGCCAATCGAGGAGGACAAACTCTCGCCACCTTATTGGTCTACTTGAACGATGTCGCCGAAGGAGGGTTGACTCGTTTTGGAAAACTAGACACCGCATCTCCAAACACCCAATTGGATTATGCCCAAGTGGATGAAAGCCAAGAAAAGCTCTGCATTCGACCCAAAATGGGGGATGCCTTGCTCTTTTTCCCAGCGGATGTCAGTGGAAAATTTGACGAACGAACCGAACATGAAGGTTGTCCGGCTGTGGATGAAAAATACATTGCCCGGATTTGGAGACATCAGAATAGGGTTCCACCTCCGTTTGGTCTGGCACAGGATGAACTCTTGAGGGTATAGATAGATCTAGTCAGCTTGCAAAGATTAATTGGATAGCTTAGTTAAGTTGCAACCTGACCTACCGAAAGGAGAGAATAAAGGTCCTGGACAACCACCAGAACACACTCCAAGACTATCGCCCTCCCCCACTCCCGCATGAACCCTAGGACCAAAACCAAGACCAACTCAAGGACATACTATGAGACTATCTCCAGGCCCCTCTCCTGGACCACCACCAGGACTCACTCCAAGACAATATCCAGGCCCCACTCCTGGACCTATCATACCGGTACGCAAGAACCCCTCCTCAACCCACATCTGGCTCCGTCCAGCTTTGGTTGATTAGAAGGGTTAGGGTTATGTCAAATGAACCGTGCCAGCGTACAGGTCACGTCCCATGACTGTACTTAGAGCAAACATTGTCGCCAAAACGGGCCCCTTTTGAAGGGAGAAAGATTACCATAACGGTTAGGCGTTTGGCGGCAGCCGAGGAATCTCTAGTTAGCAAAAAATGAGCGGTTGCGGATGGTATCAAAGGCGTGGGAAGGAAGAATGTTGTTCTAAAGGATACTTTGCATCTGTTTGCGTTGGAAGGAGGGATACTGCAGTATCTACGATTGTGGTGCATCTACGATTGTGTATATCCGTCCGTGCCTTCAGTTTTAATCGGAGACAAGCACCCAAGCAAGGAGATCCCAAGCCAGGAGGAGATTGGTTCACGTCCTTTCGCGCTTGAAACGACATTTTCGTTCCCCAGCGTTGCAGCAGAGTCTAGCCCATTTGTGTCCAGAGTCTACGACAATGGCAGGGTTCCATTCATGTTGGTAAGAGCATTGATAGAGACTCGGTAGGAATTCTTCACTACTGGTACTGATCCATTCTCTCATTGTTTTCTCTACCGTATCTTTCAAAGCGGCTTTCCACGTGGTTATGATTCAGTGTACGCCTTGGTTTTGGGCATTGCCTCCTACCTCTTGGCCATTAGCTCTACCTGGGGATGCTACTTTGCATCGGTGAATTTTGTCTTTCTGAACGATGAACCCACAAAGTATAAGTATATTGAGCGTATGTCTGTTGGGCTGTTCTCCTATGAAGATAAGAGTGCATCTGCAGCAATGACTTGCAGATTATACTCAGACGCGCAGATTGAGGGTTTTGACTCGGCACTGCGAGCGGCAAGAGCTGTAGGGATATTGGCCAATATTCTCATTGGCTCTGGGATGATAGTTCTTTTGTGTTTGAGCTGCATTGCGATACCCAAGTCTATCATTAAGGGAGTCAGCTTTGTCCTCTTTCTGGGAGGGCTTTTACAAGGATTGACCTTCTTGATCTACGCATCAGACGCTCTGTGCGAAACTTGTGGTATCTATTTTGGATCAGGACTTGCTATCTTGTGTGTTATTATCACATTGATGAACTCAACAATCACCTATCAAATCGCCTCTGAAATTGAAGACGAAGAAGACGATTTAAGATGGGATGATTCTTTTGAACACGAAGAAGCCGTCGACAAAGAACACCAAACAAGTAGTTCCGACGAGGAGGAAGAAGACAGCTACATCAAACACAAGCACAACATTGAAAACAGCCACTCAAATTCAGACGACGAAGAAGACTACCCAGGCGCAACAAGACAAATCATTACAACTATTATCAACCAGGATGGTTCACGAACAGTAGAGGAAAATACTGTCAATGCATGATGATGTTGAAAAGTTGGCCTCCACAACAACAATTCACTGATTGGTAGTTCGCATGAATGAATGACTGGTGTCTTGTAGTTCGGCCTTGTCCCCGAGTATCTGTTTCATTCTACACTACGTACCCATGCATGCATAGCTACTGTAATCTAGCAAAACGAAAAACGAAAAAGCTTCGAATGCCCTTGCTATTGAAAGCGCCATTCAAGCTGGGGCCAAAGTGTGTGGTAGAGTAGAAAGATCCCGTGGGCACTGAAACCCCATAGCGCTGAACTTGCTGCTCTCGTGGTCCGACTGAACAAAGCCAGCTGTCAGGATCTAGCTAGTAGCCACATAGGCTACTAGCTAGATTCTAGAACTTGAAGGGAAAGGTAGAACCTCTTAAGGATACCCTATCCAATCATGGCTTGGAGAACCACCGAGATGGTCCTAAATGCTGTGTGAGCCGGAATGGACCGGGATGAGAAACACATTGGCATCGAAACCTCCGGTCGCCGGTTCCGACAGGCTGCGAGACAGACAATGTATGCATCCTAGATAGCTAGAAAACTTTGCTTCTGGTCCACTCTAAAGCAGATGACAGAAATCACAACACATGCAGAGATCAAAACTCAATTGTAGCTCCCTACCGCAGCAAGGGAACAAGTCCTTCAAACGAAGGAAACTGCGTGGATAGGCTTCCCGCTGTGCTGGCTTTTGAAATTGACAAGAGACGAACCGACGGTTACTGACGGCAACCTCCACCCTCTGACCTCATCCTCCCCACTCTCCACAAGCCATGAAGGGACTTGCCATGATGATGCTGTCACAATAGCCTGCTAGATTCAGATCTACCCGTATAAAAATAAGAAGACAGGAAGATGAGAAAGGGAGTTATTGTATTCCCCTTGCTTGGAGTGCAGCTGTTGTTTCAGCTGACTGAGGTATCTTCTTTTGCTTTGGCATTCTCTTCCACCAGAGTGCTACAGACACCCTCCAGAAACATTCGATTGTTCTACGAAAATGGCCGCAGTACGGTTGATGATGTCAATTCAAGTACAGCCTCCTCTTCCAACCGGTACAGTCTTGGACGGTTCCAAAGGGGAGAAGATCCAGAACCCGAGGAGGTTGTGGTGGCTCGCAATCTGAAAGAACTTCGACAAGCTGTGTTGCAGGACAAAATTCCACTCCGCGAAATTGACTTTCTCCCCGACAAACCAACTCTGAATGCCACAACGGCATCACTCGAACAACTTGGCAACCATCCAGTTCTTCAATTGTTGCGTCAACGCCATCAAACCAACTCGACACCAGGCCACAGGGCAGATACAGCTCATATTGCCTTGGCCATTGAAGGAGGCGGTATGAGAGGGGCCGTCTCGGCAGGCATGTCCGCGGCCATTGCCAGTTTGGGACTGACGGATGCCTTTGACAGTGTCTATGGCAGCAGTGCGGGGAGCATTGTAGGCGCCTATATGATTTCACGTCAAATGTGTGTGGACGTTTATACTCAAGTCTTGCCCGCGGCCAAGGGTCAATTCGCCTCCCAGCGACGCCTCATGAGCAATGTGGGGGTGGGATTGGTTCGCGATTGGATTCAGAGACTGGATATTTCCAGCAGCACCAACGCAACCGATGATGAGACTGCCGAAGCACAAAACACATTGTTCCAAAAGTTGCGGGCAGACAAACTCTTATCCACCCTCAAGGCCAATTTCAAGTTGAGTCCTGGTATGAATGTGTCCTTCATTTTGGATGGTGTCATGTCCGAGCAACATGGCTTACGGCCATTTGATATGGAAAGCTTTAAACTCAATGATGCCAAGCAGCCTCTCTATGCAGTTTCCTCGACTGTTCGTGATGGGATATTGGAGACGGTTGCCTTCAATTCCAAAGAAGGCGATTACTTTGATCGAGAAATACAGCTTCAAAACGCCACGGAAGCTGCCATGTCGAACAATGACACGGCAAGTGTGGATATCCCCAAAGGTCGGGTTCGCCGCCTCTTGAGAGCCATCAAAACGGGTATTGGTCGACTGATAAGAAGTCCTTTGGTCGTCTATCGAGCCTCCAAAACCTTGTACAGGAAAGTGAAAGGGCTCCCAAGCCCCGCACCTGAAACACAATCCACAGAAGAGGAGACAACCAAAGAAGCTCCCAAGAAGGAGAAGAAACTTATCACAGCTGCCATGAGTCCCCTCTTTCGCAGGATTCGCAAGAAACGAAGTTTGAGTGTACAACCTTTTCAAAAGACCAGCAATGGAACCATAATACAGGAGGCATCGGCCTGCCCAGAAGAGTCAGGGAAGAAAGGGTTCTTTGCATGTATCGAATCCAGTATGCTAGTACCTGGTGCCGCAGGGGCACCTGTCAAGCTTCTCCGCAGTAAGCATCGGCAAGAAGCAATTGATTTGGGTTTGGCCCGTACGACCAGTGTTTGCTTTGATGCCTTTTGTTACTCGCCAATGCCTTATCGTTCGGCAGTCGAAAATGGTGCCACTCATGTGCTAGCCCTGCGGTCTAGGCCTGATGGATGCCCGATCGAAACCGCTCCCGCAGTGTACGAGAGATTGGTGGCTCCGATCTACTTTCGACGACATGGACTTCCTGAAGTGGTACGCTTTTTTGAAGAGGGTGGATCTCAATATCGCTACTTGGAGGACGTGCTTACCTTGGACGAAGGGCTGGTGGTGGGGTGTACCGAGGGACCGCAATCGAAAGGTGTCCAAGTGCCACCAACAGAGATCCTGTTTGGGACTGGAAATGACGAAGAGCTCATTGTGGACACTACCACATGGAAACAGGCCCATTTACTGCCTCTCATTCTTCCTGCGGGCACGACAGAATTGCCTACTCTGACTCAGGATAAGGATGAAGTCTTGGACGCAGTCCGAAATGGCTTTGCAGCGGCCTTTGATGTGCTCGCACCAATTGCAGGGCTCGGCTTTGATCCGTCCGCAGTTGACAGCAAGAAAATTGCAGAGCTCATGTTTCCTCGAAACAGTGACGAAGACGACGTGGCGGTCTTGCAAACAAAGGTCAATGTTAAGGGTGACTACATACGAAACAACAACGTCGCTATAGATAGCGAGGAGGAAAGAAAAAAAAGGAAACGGTTTGTGGATTGGATTCAACGAAAACGAAGGGCGCGCAAAAAAGCCAAGAGGATGACTCGATGGAATCCCTTCCGTGCTGGTGCCGTGGAAGTAGAACGGGAAAGGCCCGATACGAAGCAATTTGTCAAAGCGGATTCATTGGATTGGCTGGAGGCAGAAGCTTTGCTTGCCATGCTCCCCGGTTTTCAGGAGGGGAAACTATCGTATCTTGCTGAGGGGCTTCGCTCGACTGATGGTCGAGATCAAGAGTCTTTTGACGTTCCAGACTAACATTTTTGAAAGAGACAGGGCGTGGGTGTTGACGTGTACAAGGCCATTTTACAACAGACCAACTTGAATCTCCAATCATTTTGGAACGATGACAATCAACAGGACTACGGAGCAAGTACCCTGCTTCTGCGTCGACGGGGAGAACAAAATTCGCATGGGCAAGATGCGGCAAGCATGGAAAGAAAACGCTGAAGGAGAATCTGGGTTAGGAGAGGTTCCTTCCTTGGTGGGAACTACAGTAAACTCTGAACCGGCCGTGGTGGCCATACTACCGGTACCGGTATCTGCCAGAGCTGGCTATAGCTTGAAGTCGTAGTTTGTATCATTGGATACCACCTAATACATGCTTTAGTCTACCAGTACGAAGTCTGAATGATGCCTCGCCAGTGGATGCCTGCTGGAACGATTGAATCGCATGATTGAATCGAACAATAGAGGTGGTAGCAAAATTCCATGCAGTACTGATCATCTTCTCTCTCTTCAGTGGGGTGGTGCTAAGGCTCCAAAGGCAGACCATACGCAATAAGCGCGGTAAGGAATCCACGCTTGATTGCATTTGCTCCAAGAATCATAATTCCGCCATACTGGATTCCATTTGTTCCAATGATGAGATCCCAGCCTTCATGCGGAAAAATGTGCCCAGCAACACGAACAGAAGCACCAAAAGTGACGCTGAGAATTGCGATTTGTTTGAGAGTGCCGAGCGCAATTCCCATGGTAAATTACGAGAAAAAGAACAAGATCGATTTGCGATAAGAGCTGCTGGGTAAGCTTGGGATAGTTTGTTCGTTCGAAACCAAAATTATGAGAGACTGACATCGACAATGCAACAAGGAATACGGATTAATCTCGGCGTCGTGGCTTCCTTTTGCGCGGGAGTCGGAAAAATCGACTCCCAAGGTCAGATGACCTAGTGGATGGTGACCCCGAAAGCCGATATCGGAGCCTGAGAATCCAATGAAGAGCTCCTCCTTCTTTTCGGGCGTTGTGACATTGTTACCACTCTTGTTTTATCGTTACTAGTTTTAGCTAGCTAAGTCCCCTGTAGCTGGAAGCTGTTGACACTGCTTCCACAGATCTGATTCACATTCTGGTTGGCATTGAAAGGCACGAAAATGATGGTTGGTACTGGGCAATGCATGAATGTGGAATTGGTGAATACCTCCTCTCCCGCCCCTGCGAGTTTTCCCAAATACGATTCTTCGTATTCGACTGTGCACCAATGCCATTGCTTCAAAGACGGTTGGTTCCAACGTCGTGTAAAGGTCATAGTTGGTGCAGAGATATTGTCCCTTTTGAAAGTCTGTGCTCCCCATCCCTGCGGCTACTGCCTTGTTTCGTTCAATCCGACTCACTCCTTGAATGGCCAAGAGAATTGGAGTGGCCAACGGGTTGTTGAGAATACTGGTGGTTTTGGTTTCGGATTGTGCGGTGTCTGCTTTTGTGGTTGAATTTGTTCCACTACTACTAGTAGTCATTTGCATCGTTCTTTCGTCCGCCGACGTAGATACAACCAGTGCATTCTTTGGATCCATAATGATTGCGCCTTCTAGTAATTGTTGGCTTGAGTCACCACCGGACTGTGATTGATTGACCTTTTGGCAATCCTGGATCGCCTCTTGCATTCCCTTTGTCATTTGTTGCAGTTCTTGGTTTGAGAGTTGCAACAGTTGGTCTTTGTGTTCCTTGGATTTTTGCGGGAAAAAGACGGTGGGCCAATATTTCTGTTGTGCGTCTTGCCATTCTTGATGTGACTCTGGAGGTCTACCAGGGACTGTCCTTTTCTCGATGATCTCAATCTGATAGCGTTGTTTGAGAAAGTCTACAATGGAAGAAGAATGAAGATTGTCGTCTTTAGATGGTGCTAGTGTCTTCATCCGTTCCTTTCCATAGGCTCCATCCAGAGAATCCACAGACTGCAGGAGAATTTCCAATAGTGGAGCTCTTTGTTGGTTTTTACAATTCTCGTCATCGGAATGCTTGGCTTTCTTCTTCGTGGGACTTTGTGTGCCATTATTGTTCTTTTCCAAGCTGAGAAATGGCTTCTTGACGCGTTTCAGATGGGACAAATCCAGACACCTGGGCACCGATGCTGGCGGCTTCGATGATGGCAACGGCCTACTAGTACCGGTAGTCTTGTCACTCTTCGCATCATTCGTTGTGGTCCCAACAAGCGGCAGGTCTCTTCCAAGGATCTTGAGGAGCGAACCACATCGTTTTGGTTCCACCACGGCCACATACGCTTCCACCAGCTTTGGAGGGAGAGAGGCTTCGTCGTCGTCTCGTCGGAAGATTTCAACAAAGAGAGCTGCTTCAGCATCGTCGTTGTTGCTCATCGTCAACAGCAAACGTTTGTGACAACTGCAACTGGAGGCAAATTGGCGAAGCAACGGCACTTTATAGGGTTAAAATTAATGAAGGCTACTTTGAAAACCAACGGCCATCTCCATGCAGCTCCCTATAATTGATCATTCGTCCACCCTCTCCATTCACAATTCGAACTGAACGAACAGATCGTCGTCGAGATGTCAACGACAATAAGGACCACAAACAATGATGTCGACGAAAACTACAGCTTCCTTGTGGTCTCAATAGCTGGTGGGCCCCCCGAGAAAAATAGTAATCCAACTCTACAGGTCCATCGTTCCCAAGACATGTGAAAACTTTGCCTCGTTCTGTGGGGCTTTGGGAAGAACCACGCCCTCCAAACCTGTGCCAACGTATAGAGGAAGCATCTTTCATCGCGTAGTTCCACAGTTCATGGTACAAGGAGGAGATCATAATCAATTTTCTGGAACGGGGGGTTATGCAGCCAACGGTGGCACATTCCCTGACGAGAATTTTCATGTGGCTCATGACCGGGCGGGAGTGGTCAGCATGGCCAACAAAGGCCCAAATACCAACAGCAGTCAATTCTTCATTACCTTGCAAGCTACTCCTCATTTGAACAAAAAGCATGTCGCTTTTGGACAAGTGATTCATGGGATGGATGTTGTGCAAAGAATGGCTACAGACGTAGAGTTGGAGGGAGACCGTCCAGCTGCAATGCAGAAAATTGTCATCACGGATTGTGGGGTAGGCAAGGGGAATAAGGATGATGAGAGTGATGATGAAGACGGCGAAGCAAGTAGAAGGGAAGGCCACAAACGACGGAAAAAGAAAAAGAAAAGCGACAAAAAGGAAAAGAAGAAACGGAGGCGAAAGGAAGACGAGGCGGATCGAAAGAGACACAAGAAGCAACACTCTTCCCGTCGAAAAAGACGCAAAGACTCCAGCGATGATTCATCTGCTGACAGTGATGAATCGACTGATGGTAGCTCAGACAATTCCTCGAGAAAGAGACGTAGGAAGAGAAGCGATGACAAACATCGCTCATCGTCGCGGAAACGAAGTCGCAGCAAGTCATCCTCTAAGAAAGAGCGGAGACGATCCAGAGAGTCCGATAGGTCGGCATCGACATCCTCCTCTGATTCAGGCGATTCCAAGGGACGACGGAAGAGCAATCGTTAGATGTTATGGCACTGCGGGTAGTACTGCGCTAATAGCTGGAAAATTGTTGTTAAGATATAAATTGTCTTATCTAACTCATCGAAAATGAACTCATCGATAATCATCACACACCGACTTGACTGCGGTAGGATGAGTTTCCAACGTCACCCATCTGTTCCGCATCAATCTTCCTGCTTGGGAGCAACCGCATTCCATTCAGTGTCACACACAGCATGGCTCCAACGTCTGTCATGATGGCAACCCACAAGGATACATCACCAACAATCGTAAAACCCAGCACGATTATCTTCACAATCAAACTGAATGCCACATTTTCCTTGATGGTCCAAAGAACACGTCGACCCATATCAATGCTGTACAATAGCTTCCTCAAGTTAGAATCCAGCAACGTAACATCGGCAGTCTCCATCGCCAAAGCAGCACCCACTCCCATCGCAACACCAACGTCAGCTGCTGCTAGAGCAGGGGCATCATTCACACCTGCATTCACAAGCGAAATATCAGGTTAGGATTAAATGTAGTTTGGTAAACCAGCAGCAACAGCAGATATTGTACTTACCATCTCCAACGTGGCACTGCACAATCAAGACGCAAAAAGCCAGGATGAGACAGGTGTGTCCTGCAAACAAGAGCTGGAAGTGACGACCCCTCACCCAACTTAGACTTACCACAAGGTCCCGCTTGCCCATGGGATTTGTTAGCACAGACCGTCCAGTGTCTTGAGCGCCTTTCATCTTTGTAATGAATTGGAGTTTCTCTTCTGGGAGCAGCTCACTGTTGATACTCTCTGGATTCATCCCCACCATCTGGCCAATTGCTCGGGCTGCATCTCGGTTGTCACCTGTGAGCATGTAAAGGTCAATCTTCATTTTTTCCAGAGCATCAATAACCTCCATTGATTCGTTTCTGACAGCATCAGCTACACAGTAGGCACAGACGATACCTGCTCCTTCAATGCTCATAAAACCAACAGTCATTGCCATGGCTTCCCAGTTGTAAACCATATTTTCCATCTCTTCAGAGAGACTTTCCATCATGCCAAGTCGCTCAAAAAGACGGGTGTTTCCAACATAAACTTGCATTCCATCAATTCGGCCAACCAAACCCTCCCCAGCCATAAATTTGTGCTCATCCACTTTCTTCTTGGAGTTTGCTGATGTGACTCCCTCCAACCTGGCACCGTCAACTATTGCCAGGGCAAGAGGATGATTGGCCCTTTCTTCCATCAGCACCATGAACTCAAGCATTTGCTCCCGAGTGTACTTGTCTCCGATTGGAGTGATTGAAATGAGAGCATAACTCCCCTGAGTGAGGGTACCAGTTTTGTCAAAGCAGATTGTCTTCACAAGTCCTAAGGCCTCCAAGTGAGCACCACCTTTAACCAAAACACCTCGCTGTGCAGTGGCAGCCAGGGCTGCCACGTACTAGGGATAGACAAATCAACCAGGTTGGAGGATGAGATGCTGGAGGAACAGTTCCGCAGATACCAGGAAATCCGAACTATGAAAACTTACTGTAACTGGAGTTGAAATGATCAGAGCACATGGGCAGGCAACGACTATCAAAACCAGGCCGTTGTAGGTCCAAGTTCTTCCACTCTCGACGCTGATTGACCAAGGAATGGTGCACATACAGAGAGCAGCAAGAACAACAATGGGGGTATAAACTTTGGCGAATTCATCAACGAGCTTCTCTGTTTCACTTCTGTTGGCCTGTACAACACAGAGAGAAAGCATTTCTATCAGCAAACATGCACTCCAACTTACAAAATCCAAAGAAACGAAGAAGTCCTTACCTGTGCTTCCTCAACAAGGGTAACAAGGCGACTGATTGCACTGTTTTCGGCTGTGGAAGTAGTTTGAATCATCAGATGGTTTTGGCCACAGTTGACAGTGCCTCCTGAGACAAGACTCTTGGGTTGTTTCTTCACTGGTCTAGATTCTCCTGTCAGTGATGATTCATCCACAGCTGACTGGCCTTCCACCACAACTCCATCACAAGGGATTTTATCTCCAGTTTTCACAGCAACTATGGCTCCAACAGGCACATAGGAAGCTGGAATCATCTGCTGCTCCTTTGTCTTTGGATGGACAATCCAGGCAAACTCAGGGCGAAGGCTAACAATTGCTGAAAGTGCATTTCGGCCTCTTGTAGTAGCCAGTCCTTCAAGCCAGTCAGAAAGGGAGAACAGAAATGTCACAGCTGCTGCTTCGTCATATTCCTGGAAACCCAGCGCCCCAACCGCTGCAAAGAGCATTAAGCAGTTGGAATCAAACATGAATCGGCGCATAGTACTGAATGCTTTCACAGCAATGTTTGGGATACCAAAAGCAAATGCCAACAACCCAAGATACTTCAAATATTCAAAGTAGCCACCAATGTTGGAGAACATGGACAAAATCCAAAAGATACCTGATAGAATGACTGTTGGCTTTGGCAGCTTGTCTTCGTCACCACTGTCAACTTCTTGATTGCTGGTGACATCCTCATAGGAAGGGAAGTCCCAAACAATGTCATCTTCACCATTGAATGAGATAGATGTGACAAAACCAGCTTCTTTTTTGAGATGGCTCACAACTGACTCCAAGGGCAAGACCAAGGGATTGTGTGAGAGTGTGATAGCCTTTCCTTTTCCATCCACTACAAAAGACTCCAACTCTGATGATTTGAAGGTCTTCAGTGCTTCCTCAACCATCTCGACATCAGAGGTATCTGTTTCAATTTTGAGTGTGGAGCGAACAAATGATGCAGTTCCCCCCTTGGAAGCCTTTCCAGCGTCCTTTTTGAGGGTTGCCCCAAATGTAGCATCATTCAAAGCATCACAGAGTGCTTGTGCTGATACTGTGTTGGTGTCATGGTCCACATAGACCTTTCAAAAAAGAGAGGTAAAAGCATGAGACAACGAAATATCCACTATCGGTACCCAGTTCAGATTCCACAATCTCACACGAGATCAGTTCAGAAGGGCACACGTACCATTTTGGCAGTGATATTGAAGGCCACGTTGGATACACCATTGATTGGCTCCAACACTCCATTAATGATCGGAATTTCTGCGGCGCAACAGATCTTTTTGACATGATAGTGTGATCGTCCAATAGCACCCTCCAATCCGGCTCCACCATCTCGTTTCACTACAGCACCAAAGTGTTCTTGGTTAAGGGCATCTTCAATGTCTTTGGCGGAAATAACCGAAGGGTCGTGATCAATGACGACTTGCTTCAGTGGGACGTTGATCATGGACTTGCTAATTCCGTCCAGCTCATCGATCACTTCATTGACCAAGGGAACCTCAGCAGAACAGCAGATGCCCGAACATGTGATGGTGGATCTAACGGTTTTCTTTTCGTCGGCAGTATCGACAATTAGATGCTTGTAGGTCATGGCGGGGGTGGCGCCAGCACCCGTGCAAGTACCGGTAGCACAGCAACTACTCGTGGTAGAAGCCTTGCAGAATCCTTCTTCGCAGCAGGGTGGCATTTTCAATTTTCCTTTTCCCGGCGTGAAGGTAGGGCCCGTGTTGGCAGTGCAGGAACCACTGGCACAACACCCTTCGACAGCCCGGACATTGGCGACTCCATGCGAATTGGCATCAAAGGCGCCTCTCAAAGATTTCCACAGATTGGGTTGAGGCGCGAGTGAATTGCCACCAGCTGCTTGGCAATAATGCACAATTTCCTCTCCACCATCCTCGCCGCTACCGTTCGACATGGTGTGGTTGCCGTTCCCATTAATGACCTCTCCATTGCCGTAACTCTGACCGGCTCCAGAGGACACGAGAAGCGGAGTCTTTTCTCCTGCATCGACAGGACTCTCATCTTTCGCCACCTCTACGACAGAATTGGAAGGCGGCGCCATGGTTGTTAGTTGTTGCCTAATAGAGCTGCTCTAGCTAGATACGATCGACTAATCCACTTTATCTCTCAATCTTTGAGCCTTACGAGACCGATTTTGGTTGGCTCTGTGCCGTGATACATGTACCACCACGACACCTTCAACTCTCGATGTCCCACCGGAAGAAGCAGCAAATTTGGGCTTCCGTCGAATTCTACCGAAGTCTTATGCCGGTCATTCGTATCCAGCATCAGGTTATACCTTTGAATACCGCTATATCTCCCTAAATCTCGAGACAAACCTCCACCAACCAACAACTCCGCATCCCTTTAGCGTAACACCCTCACTTTGCTATCATCCCAGGTTTGTCAACATCCCCGACAAATCGAATCGAAAACAGCTACAGGCAACATGTCAGCTCTACCGATACCTCCTTCTGCATGGGAAGATCGCATCGCAATTGTCCGTCATCACTTTGAAGAAAAGGGATATCGAGTCCATTCAGGTCTTCAGTTTGGATGTGAACTCGTCTTGTACGCGGATACCCCCGATCGAGTCCATTCCGATTTTTGTGTTCATGTGGTGCCTCCCGATGGGAGTTTGGATTGGAAACTCTTGCAGAGTCTCGTGCGGTCCATGCCAGATTTGCACAAGACACTGATTTTAGCACAGTTGGTGCCATCACACGAAAAAGACAAGGAGTGGGATGTGCAAGAAATGGCCATTGCTACCGAACATGCTCCTTTCCGTCATAAAAAGACCGTGCCAGTGGGGGAACAACGAAAGAAACCCAAGCTCTCTTAGCTACATATTTTGGTACTTTGGCTGTAAGGGACAAGATTATTTCATCCAATTATCAACAGAATCGAGCGAGTGCATTGGGATTCCAGAAGCTGACAGGCATAAGTCAAGGGAGAAAAAGCCTTCAACCCACAGTTTCAGTTCTATCCCATCTACTAGTTAGCATTAGGATGAGTTATGAAGATGGAGACACGAAAGAGCTTCCTTGGATGTGCGACTTCGTGCCCTGTTCCCCGCCTTTACGAGCCCATATTGGTGCCAACTCCAGTTTGGCTTTTCTATGGGCGTGCCTGTGATCCATGCGAGATTCCCTCCTGAAAATGTTTGTGTTCGGCATCCACATTCTCTTGTTTGGGCGTTGATGAGATGCTGCCGCAAAGTACTTTTCAATGGTGTAATCCCAGAGTTATCGGACGACTTACCAAAAACATACCGTACCGAAAGCTCTAATATTCCATTCTACAGTACCCGTATGATAGCTATGCAAAGCACCTTAGTAGAATTTCAGCTGAGGTTCCGTGCAATGTTTTGTTGTTGTCAACACATAGGTACGGTACCGGTAGCTGGTACGGTACAGTAGAAGGACGCGGTAGCAACACATCCCGCCTGTCACCGTCATGCCCCCCATCAAAGGCAGAGTGTGGGGCTCTTCGTTTTTACATATTTACCCCATACTGTTTCAGCTAGATTGGATCTTGCTGCATGTAGTTGAGGTAAATATTTCTGCAATCTTTTCCTTGGCCTTGACAATTGACAATCGAAAATCGAAAATCCACATCGTTTGGATCCTCCTTCGCATCGTCCTCTGTTCAGTCTCTCCCTCATCATCCTCTCTGCGTGCCTGTCACAACCATCATCTATCTATCTATAGCTAGCTACAGAGGACCCTCGACGTGTGAGGATGTTTGTCACAGCACCAACACTTCTATTCGCGGTCTTGTGCCTTTTCAAAGTGTTTGTATCCGGAGGAACGGCAGCGGAAGCAACACCAGGCCTCGCGTATCATCTGTACGAGAACGCTGCACTGGCAGGAACACCCAGCGCCACCGGCATTACCACCTCGGTTGAATTGTCCCTCGACAAACAAAGATCCCGACTTGTTCCAAATTCTGATACAGAGAGCAAGTGCTATTTGTCCGGCGAACTGGTCGGAACCATCGAATTTCCCACTACAGACAAGACTGAGGTCTACTATACATTTGACTGTCAATTCGCTCACACATCCACAGGATGGGTATGGGTCGATGGACACGTTGTTTGTGGAGACAGGAGTGCCTTCAACTACTCTTTCCCAGCAATTGACAATCCACTCCCCATTCGAAGAAAGCGCAGCTTTCCTTTTCGAGCACGGATCACCAGCAATCAAACTGCATGTGATAATATTGCGAGCGTAAAAGTGAACTGGAAGTCTGATGCGACGGCTGTCACGACAAATGACGATGAACAACAACAAAATCAGCCCTCTTTTCGCTTGCTCGAACACGACGAATCGAGCAATGGTATTGCGCTGTCACCTCGGCTGCCTCCCAGCGAAGAAACACGAGATCGACTCCAGCGAAGCCTTCTGCAGGGATGGGGGTCTTGGCTACGCTTCAACATGATCAGTGTCGTCAAGTTGCCAGAGGGTCTTCTGTTCACTCCCAGGATCTGTCAACTTTCAACCAACAAGTGCTTTGAAGTTGCCAGTCCGGAAACCGATGGCGTCCGAGTGGACTTGCATGCCTATGATCGCTCCTACGTGGGCTACAACCTGACTCTGACACAACCACAGGTATCCTTGTCAATGGAATATGCTGTATCCGGCGAACGGGGAGAAACGTTGCAATACCTCATTACAGTATTGGACGCTCCTGGCGACAAGAACGATTTTATCGTAGATGTTGCCGCCAGATTCGCATGGTTCCGACCCGGAACTATTTCCACCACCACGGATGACGAGGGCAACTTGAGTCTTACGTTTGCAACAAACGGACTGGGTACCACCAATCTTACAATCGTTGCGGAACGGCCTGTGGTTCAGACACAATCATCCATTGGGTTGCAGGAGAGCAGAAGACTCCAAGAGAATCCGTCGTCAGGAAAGTCATTCTTCAGCTTTCGCTTATCAGGAGGCAAAGGCTCTCGCTTGGGATTCGTGGCTGGAATGACACAAAAGCCATCGTTGGATCAGTTGCAAGCAACCCTGAAGACCAACAAGGCTAAAGAATACCAGCGTCTTGAAACCAGATTTGGACCTGCTAAAGCTCCTGTTGCAGAAGCTATCCAGTGTGCAGCCATGTGGACGGTGATATATAATCCTATAGAGAATGGGCCTCTTATGCCTGTGTCCAGATCAAGAGGATGGTCCTTTCAGAAAAAGTCGGGAGCGACCACGGAGGACTGGACGTATGTCATCTTTGGTAGGTTTGCATGGATGTTTGTCTGTGTGATCGTCGTGGCTTTTGGGGTGGTGGGCTTGTCTCTTGCTCACTTCCGTCGCTTGTATGAAAAGATTGGGACAATCTGTTTGCTTCGCTCTTGGCGGGCCTTGATAACAAAGAGGTGGCCTATTCCAACCTATTTCAAGTTGTCAAGTCAAAGACCGCTCAAGGATTTATTCCAAACTACGCTGGCGGTGGAGTCAAATCACAGGATAGGACAGAACCTCCTGTGGGTGCAAAGGTTGTGCTAGAGCTGTATCGTAAGTATAAAGAAAAGTGGCCGGTCGAGGTGGTCTTTGACGACTTGCTAGATTGGAATAATTGGTTTGTAGCCAATCGAATGTTGCAGCCAGAAGGAATCGTGGCGTTGGGAAGCTTCTGGGAGGGAGCACCACCCCACCCGGACAAGGGCCCTGACACCATGAATAGCATGCAAGCAGCTCGATTCGAAAGTGGCCTTGACAACAGTCCCATGTACGATGGTGAAATCTATGACAAGAACGGCACACATCTGATGCAGTTGTATGACGTTGGCATGGCCTCTTTGTTTGCACAAGAGGCTTACAGCCTGGGAGAGCTGGCGGATATCATTGGCCGTGATCCAAAGCTGGGTACTATGCTCCGAAAAAGGGCTGATGACATGAGAGACAAGATCCAGAAGCTTCTGTGGGATAGCCAACAACGCGCCTTTGCCAATCTGTATCCAAATGGAACTTTTTCACATCATATCAGTCCTACCAGTTTCTACCCGTTGGGTTTGGGCGCAGCATCCGATGAACAGGTCCAAAGCATGATGGGATCTTGGATGTTAAACTCATCGCGTTTCTGTATTACTCCTGAAGGTGACTTTCAAGGCAATGATCCAAACGTGTGTTATTGGGGTCTACCAAGTATCAGCGCTGATGATCCAACCTATATGAAAGCCAATTTTATCTACTGGAGGGGCTACAGGTACGCCAGGACGCTAAAGACGAAGGGTCGAGCCCCTTATGCTTGACTGACCCCCTTATTGTTTCTGCCGTTGCCAGCTGGGGTCCAATGGCTCAACTTGTCTATTGGAGTCTACAGGGACCTAAACAGAGCGACATAGTGTCGAAGGCAAAGAAAGCGCTTTGCAAACAGATGGAATCTCTGGTAATGAGTCAGTGGAACCTGAACCGCCACATCTGCGAAAACTACCATCCTCATAAAAACGCCAGCGACTGTAGCGGGACAAGGTATTACCACTGGGGAGCACTGAACGGCCTGATTGGTATGGTCGAAGACGGATATTGGTAGATAGACAACAATTTGCACAGAGCCACAGCTACATGTAATGAAAGACAGCTACATGTAATTATATGATCTATAGAAGCCGCAGGTCGGCTCACCCAGTTTGCTTCAAAATGCTATCACTTGGTCTCCCTGTGCTTGTGCGTCTCATGGCGGTCTAAGTTCTTCTTGTTTGGAAATCTGCGCCCGCATGTTCCACACGTGAAATCAGCCGAAGGGATCAGCGACGCACCATCATCCCAATCCATCGCAGTGATTAACTTTCTTCCCCCTGCACACTTCGCGACGTGGAGGTAGCCGTGATAGTCGACGTTCCTCTCGTGTTCCATGTGGCTTTCGTTAGAAACGAGGTGCACTGCCCGCCGAGGATGTTGCACTTCGTACACTACCACTGCATTTTCTAATTTGTGAATGATCTCGAGTTGAAAGGCAGCTGTCAGAGTTATCAAAAGAGGGTGGACGAGAACGGCCTGCCTTGCCTCGGTATATTCTTTACGGGTCAGAGAGCGCATATTCCACTTCACAGGGTTTTGCCGAAAGAGAGGGACCCCGCCGACACCATCTCTCGTTTCCTCAAAGTTTCTCGCAGCGCTCTTCAGAAAAGTCAATAGGGACATGTGCGAAGAGACCTGGGCTTTCACAGCCGCATCCAGGCCAGCGGTCCCCAAAAGCAAGGAGTTCCACACGCACAGTCCGTCCATGTATTGCTTTCATATCTCCCTTTGATGACGTCTTCTGCGCCTTGAGTCCCCTTTGCGTAGATTCCTCTTCTTATTGTTCCTTGTTGATATCTTGCTTGACGGGTTAGCGGTGTCGTGGGCTTGGTTCCACAAAACCCGTAAAAAATGCAACACTGGCGAATTAATCCCCATTTCCCTTGCTCCATTCACCATTCCACGTCTGGTTTATCCACGGCTGAGAAATATCTCCGGGTTCCTTCAACCATCCAATGCAAAGATTCGTTTCAACTTGACTTGGCTTTCCTTCTCGACCTCTTCAACATCCCTCATCTCTGAAAAAGCATTCCGAGTGTCAATGAAGATCCACCGATGCCCCGGTGACAACCTACTGTACCGGTAGCTAGAGCTGGTCTCCTGCTAGCTAGCTGCCCAAGTGCTGTATTTGTTTGTAAGGTTAGCAACAGATGGTTTTGAAAGCTAGTTTTGAAACCAACACCGCCGTGGAGGCACGAAGAGCAGATTCAGAATACATCCTGGAATAATAGTCAAATGGATTCTCTAAAAATAGTCCTTATAGTAGCTAAGTGCTGTTTAATCTAGTTTCTTGAGTTTCGTATGCACGGTGGGATGTCGTCTTCCTTCTAAGGTGTTAGAAGGAGAGAGTACTTGTCACCCAATGCTTCTAGGTAGCTGTCCTTCAAGTACTCGTCAAGAGCTCCTCCCTCGCCCTCTTTGAAGTACCCATCCACCACACGAAACATGTTCTTGACGTTCTCGATAACGATTGGTGTTGTCAACCAATTGGGAATCTTTCCCCCGATTTCCAATTGAATAACGTACTCGACATCAAAGGTATCATGACCAGTCGGAATCATAGTGGTAGCAAACAAATGCGACTTGGCTCTGGTTCGACGAGCTTCGTCTTCGGGAAGTAGATGATTGTGGTGATCTTCCATTTCGGTTCCCCAAATGATGCTAGATCCATCGTGGAAGTCCTGGATGCCACACATGGTCAATTGTTCCCTAGAATCAACACCGAAGCTAGGCTTGGTGGTGCAGTACCCAACGCCCACCTTGGAACATTGCCCGTACTTGCCAAATTCCATTGCCATGTTGACACAATCCAAGTCTTCGATAGGGTACTTCTCATAGACATTGGCCAAACTTTCATCCCACATGGATCGATATTCCTTGGTGGTGAGAAAGCTGGCAAAGACATGGGCCAAACAAGGACCCTTCATTCTGCAGCGGAAGCGAAGCAGAGGAGCGTTGAGACCTTGAAAGTTATCAATCTTTTGGATCTGATGAACCAGTCTATTCTTGTTGCTCTCCACAGTCTTCCATGGCAGGTCATCGTCGACTGCAGATTAAGTTAAGGACAAGATAATGAACTGGGTAAGAAAGCAATCTCATGCCTAACAACATAGGAAATCTGATGTTTTCTTACCAACAGTTGTCTCCAATGCCGACAAACCTCGCTGACCATTGAGCTGCCCCCCTTGCATGGCGACTCTCGCCAGCGGAGATGTCCCTCGAACTCTCACAAACAATTCGTCAAAATCAGGGAGCTCAATATCCACTCCAGGTTGAATCGTCGGTGCTGTTACCTGTTGCGAGAGTTGTGGCTGAAAAAGAGTACTGCTGAAACCATTGCAGGAATCAGTTCCAAGGAGGGCCAGGAAGACGGCAAGGAGTTGTCGGTTACTGGGCATTGTTTGTTTATTTCTTGGGGATAAAACTCTGGGATTCGATTCTTAGAATTATGCTATCGAAGCAAATTGATGGGAGAATCTTGCCTTGTTTGCCTGGATGTCTTTCCCAGCTGCTTGTCTTTTTTCAAGACGACCACGCAGGCGACTTAAAGTTCCTCCGCGGAGCTTCCACTTGGTGCTGGCGGTTGGCCTACGGCGCCCAAAAAAGTCCATTGATGGCGAGAGTTCCATAAAGATCGGCTGGATAGGATTCCACGTTGCACTTCTGACGTTTGAGTATGTGGCCACTGATGACCTCGACCCGCGTCGGAATGCTTTTTCGTCCCCGTTTCTCTGATTGGGGCATTCCACTTGGATCCTTCCATTTCAACAAGAATTTCTACTAGAAGCAAAAGTTTGGTCCAACCAGGAACCAGTGAGGCAGATGGAATCCGCCCAAAACTGAGGTGACGCTATGACAACCCCAATGATGACGAGGAAGTCAGAGGGGATAACCCATCTGGCTAGCTACTAGTACTTCTGGAAGAGTAAGATGGTGGAAAGCTGAGAAGTTTGCGTGGTGGGCCTCGTGGTGGGCCTTTGGTGGTCCTGGAGTGAGACCCGGAGCGGGGTATGGTGTTGGTCCAGAGGCGGGCCTGATCTCTGACCGGAAATAGGTCTGGGAGTGGGGACTGCATTAGTTCTGGGAGTGGGGACTGCAGTGGGGGGCAGGGATAGGGCCAGGGGTGTTTTAGCCTGCAGTTTTATATGGTGTGTGTCCACAGGGAGTGGGGCCTGCTGGCTGCTGGTCCTGGAGAATGGGAGCGGGGCTAATAGGAGTGAGGCCAGGAGTCAATCTTTGAGCGGATCCTGCAATGGGGCCAGGTGTTGGTCCAGGAGTGGGAGTGGGCTGTTGGCTCAGGCATGGCGCCTCACGATGGACCTGATGTTGGGATTGGGGTGGGGCCTGGTGTGAGACCTGGAGTTGGACCACGAGGGAGTGGCGCTGCTCGTGGGGCCTGGATGTGGTCCAGAAGTGGGGCATTTGGCACGAGGCCTCACGATGGACCTGATGTTGGGCTTGGAGTGGGTCCTGTCATGGAATCTGGAGTCGAGGGCATCTTTTGTCCAGGAGCGGGCCTGGTGTTGATTCAGGTTCGGGAACAAGTGGGGCCTAATGAGATGGACCAGACGCATGGGCAAGATTTGGTCCTTCAGTGGGGTCTGGTAGTACTGTATCATGTGTTGGGCCAGATAGCCCTGGGTCCTTGCTGGCTCCTGACTTGGCAGAGCAAGTGTCACCCAAAACTCTCTTTGCTACTTTTCGACAGTACTAATGCTCCTTCCGTTGGAAAAAAATATTACCATCGCTGTGCACTGGACTTTTCAACTACGATGTACTACCTGCTACCGGTACCCACTACGCAAACCTTATGGCAGAAAGATCACCAAACGATCTGACTGACCTGCCGTTTGCAACCATGTTGAAGGCCATAGGCTGTGCCAACAAGCTATAATCGTTCATTAGAGAACGGCTCTTCGATCCAAGGGAGCATGACAGAATCTTTCCATACATTGCCCCTTTGGACACCAGTTGTCCGTATCATCTGATTGATCGTCCCAAAAACAGCATCCACTAATCGTCGGGAAAGAACCAGAAATTTTCCTGCTAGCTAGCTAGCTGTTCAAGGATTTCACGAATTGATCAACTGATGATACACTTCCAAAGATGCCTCCCTGTGCAGATATCATTTTCAAAGCCACAGTATGGAATTCATCAAAGTAGGAAGCACACGCATCCGAGAGAGCAATGCAATGATACCCACGATCATTTCCTTCTCGAATGGTGGTATGGACACAAACTTCTGTTGTGACTCCACAGACAAAAATGGTTTCAATGGATTGTGCTTGCAGTATGGCCTCCAAATCGGTTGCGTAAAAGGAACCCTTTCCTGGCTTGTCAATAATGGGTTCTGATGCAGCTGGATAGAGTTGTGGAATAATATCATGTCCTGGCTCTCCCCGAATCAAGATGCGTCCATTTGGACCTGGTTGTCCAATGACTGGTGGACAAGCTCCTCGTTTGTTTAGTTTGTAGGGATGTACATCCGTCATGTCAGGTCGATGCCCTTCTCGAGTATGAATGACGAGCATTTTCTTATCTCTAGCTGCCTTCAAGGCTCTCTGACAAGGCTCAATGGCCCGTTGGAGTTTGGTTACATCATTTCCCAGAGATTCTCCAAAGCCCTTTGGCTCCAAAAAGTCTCTCTAATAGAGATGGCAACGACGACAGAGAGACAAGAAGCATGGAGGGAGATGAGGAATGGATCGAAACACTATCTTATTCGATTGATTCAGCGCCTCTTCGCATTTAGCTTACCTGCATATCAATGATCAGTAGAGCTGATCTAGACGGGTCAACCTCGCCGCTTTTGGGTTCCATTTCAAGCTTTACCTTGGTCGTCATGTTGGATCTTCATTGCTGTTGGACAATGGTTTGGGAGAACTTTGAAACTGAGAAAGAATTCGTTCAGCGAATTATTCCCGAATGCAAGATATTCGTGACTGAAACGAATCTCTTTGGTGAGAGCAGTCAACAGCGATGCTGAGCAAAAGAAAACCCACCTGCTGATCACGTTGACTGCTCTTAGCTAGCTAGCTAGTGCTAGCGGGCGATCTCTAATGCAGAGTGCAGCTCATTGCAGCAGGGCAGTGCTAGCTTAACTACCGGTGCTGTATTTCCGAAGTCTGCATGAACGAGCAACAAAAGTTTCCCAAATTGCATAATACTATATAGCTGGTTACTGTGGTCATTGCTAATGATGGATATCAGTATAGTCGTCGATCCTTGTTGAATGTATTGTGTGTGTGGATTGGAAAAGTGAGCACCCATAGCGGTATGCCTCTCAGGATGAGCTCTTTTTTGATTCATATTCCTCACCAATTTGCAGTCATTCCAATTCCAATTCACTTCCATTCACATCCACTCCATTGAATACGGGATGTGGATCCATGCATGCATGCATATATTGCGGCATTGTATTGTATTACAACTGAATGGATTTGAATATTTTCCATGCCGCCTCTTCATCCCCCGACTCGATGGTCAATGCAACCATGAATTTTTTGATTTCTACCATGGATCTAAACTTTTTTCCACCGGGACTGTACCAGTATCGATCTCTGTGTCCAGAACTGGTTCCGTTTCTTCGTTTGACTTCCGTCTTGATCCATCCGGGTGGCCATCCTCCTTCCAGAACTTCACTGGGTGGTCCTCGATATACTTCTTCCGGTTTGGGGAGGGGTAGATTTTTGCTGTCGACCATGCTGCTAACACTGTAGGCGGGTTGTTGTTGTTGTGGTTGTTGTTTACGACCCCCGCGCCTGGCTGTCGCACTGGGTTTGTTATGGTTGCTTCGGTTGCTTCTGCTGGTTGATGATTGTTGTTGCTGTTGCTGCTGTATGGCTTTGGTGTTGTGTTTGGCCGGTCTAATTTTTTTCTGTGGTGATTTGAATAGATCTTCCCAAGCTACCTTATCGACAATGGAACTTCCCTTGGTGGAAATGGACTTGTAGGCAACTACATAATAGACAGATAGAATGGTTAGAATGTATCAACAAATGAATAATCACTAGTTGATGTGTGTATGTCACGTACCTCTCTTTTTTCGTCTTTGATTTTCCGAGTGTTCCATGAGAAAAGTCTTTGCCGCAAATAGTCTCCTTCGTCTGTCAATATGATCATGAGTTCTAGTTCCTTGAGTAGCAATAGCAGGAGCACTGAGACGCGGATTGATCGGTACTAGCACAATATCATCCGTGCCCATGGGTTTTTCTGCATTGATAGTAATCAGATTCTCGTTGGTGCGGGGAGGAGTGACAGCCGTTTCTGCCACATTTACCCTGTCTTCCACTGCTGGCTCTTGTTCTACCGTCGATTCTAGATTAGTCTTTTTCTCTGTGGTAGCTTGGGTTTCGTCTTTCTGCTCCACATTGCTGTTGTTGTTGGTAGTGATCGTACTAGTAATACCGGTAGTAGCATCCCCTGATTCTGCCATTAAGTCTGACATCCTTGCTAGCTATGGTAGAACTGCGGAACTCGACTCGACTCTGTTGTTGCCCAATGACGATGACGCACACGGGTAGAATGGACGATTGATATTACAGTTGGATCAATAGCTACTCTCTTGCGATCTCTTCGGCTACGGTGCCGTACTAGCTAGTGTAGTGTGATACAATCTGGCTAGCCAATATGATAGTATCAGAGTAAGGATTCCTTCAGGTCCAACTCCTTGCTAGCTAGCTAGCTTCAGCTTTGTCGACAAAAGTAATGACAAGAAGCCAAGAGTGACGCAGCAACAGGTTTTGCTGTGCCGCGCTCTTTGTATCTTTGCATTTAGTCCCTAGTAGTTAACTGGGCTTTTGATGTTCGTGACTCAACCACAACCAGTGCTCTCTTTCTCCTCGCATTTTCCTTTCAAATGTTTGCCCCTTCACAATTTGGAGTTGGCCATTGGAGTTGCCAACTGCATTGCATTGGAGTTGCTTGTCCTTTCTTTCTACCGTTGCACTATACTATAGACAATACTATTAGTTGAGATGGACCACCAAGTCAAGTCGGTGAATACGGATTCTCGTTCTAGGAAACGTCTCAAGTTTACATCGTCGAAGCAACGTTCCAAGCGCGCATCGGCCGATGTCTATCGTTCCTACAAACGGCGCATTGGAGTCACCAGTGCGGCCAGTCGAGAAGAACGAGTCCATCACACGCATCGAGAAGAATCCAAACAAAAGAAGCAAAAACTGGACAACAAGCCAGAAGAGGAGGATGTGACAGAAGCCACCTTTTCCGAAGAACTCGATCTGGCGTATGCTAGAAATCCGTCCGAAATATTCCGAAATCTGTATCATCAAGTTTGGCCCTTGGCAAGGTCCTTGCCCGAAGTCCTTCATCATGCCGCCGCCATTGTCAACCTTCTCTTGGCATACGTCATGTCACACCCAAGTGAACCACATCAACAGTCACACACTACTAGTACTCACAACAATGACAAGAAAAAGAAGGAACGATTCATTGTCAATCATGCCACTACAGATGTCCTTCATCTACTAGCTGTTCTAGCCAAGGACCTCAGACATGAAATTCATCCGTTTCTGCACACACTCATCATTCCAAGAATTGTCAATGATATACTCAATCAACCAACCACAACCACCACCTCCTCAAACAACAGCAATGACGTTGAACCCACCCAAAACAGCAAACAAATCATGCCCGTCGATGTTTCCATCATTGAAGCTTCATTCAGATGCATATCCTATATTTTCAGGTACGATGCCGAAGCTATTCTCACGGAAACAACTACTAGTAGTAAAAACGACAAAAAACAAGAAGAACCTTGCCTGGAACTATTGCGACAATACTATGGATCCACATTGGCACATCGAAGAGATATTGTTAGACGATTGGCCGCAGAGACATTTGCTCCTCTCATTCGAAAGTTGAAACAGGACTCGGCACGCAAGAAGCATCTTCGGCGAGTCATCAAAGCATTCATGTCCACTCAGGCAAACAACACTTCCACCACTGCTACAGCTACAGCTACCACTGCTGTCGTCAAGCTACAAACCAACGCCATTGATGGAATCTCCCACTTGTTCTTTGAAGTGGCAAGGGGTGTTGCAGGACAGGGACATTCCAAGGGAAAAGTAGCGTTGCGAGTATTACTAGGGGTTCTGTCGGCCAATGACGCCAACAAAAGCAACACCAACAGTTTGGAACTCGCTCATTCCGTCACGGCGGCATTTCTAGACAAGATGGGGAGCCATCTGCAGCGACCATTCTTTGGAGATGCGATTCTTCAGGATATCATTGATTCCACACAGCGAGTGCTCAAACAGAGTGACAACAACAACAACAGCAAAGACAACTTTGCTCCAAAAGAACACATGATTCGACTTTTACTCCAAATCATTCTCCTTCGAGATGGATTCTTACTGGAAAAACAACAACAATGGCAGGATCAAGGCAAAATATTCAATACGAGAGGAGAAATCGTAAAGATTGTCCTCAGGGTCATGGATGCACTGGTGCCAGTCTTTGCAGAGATGCCATTGTCGCTGCAATCCATCGTGCTCAGTCTCGTGTCATCTACCTGGAAAACCATTCCCACGGATGCTCACTTTGCAAAAAAGATGAGACCTCATATTGAAAGTCTGGTCAAGACAGAGATTACGACGAATGAAGACAACAATAATCACCCGGCTCTTGTTTTGGCCCAGGATTTAATGCCCTTTTTACCGTCCAAGGCGGCAATGGGGATTGTGGCAACCTCCATTCTAACGGCTGCAGCGGCACATTGTACGGATCGCGACTTGTGCCTGTCCATGATCGTGGCGGCGGCCACAAGCTCGCCAGTAACAACATCCATCGATGGTGGAGAAAGCGATAATGATGAGAGTGTGTCCACCAACAGCAACCAGGCGGAAGACACGCTCTTTTCGTTTCAAGTTGCCACACAGTGTCAAATATCACACGACACGAAACAAACACTACTCGAGGCATGTTTGCTGGATGTGCATGGTAGCGAATGGAGTCGCCTGGGAGTAGCTGCTCGATGCGTCTCCTTTGTTGCGTTGACGGGAGTCAAACAAGAGGAGGAACAAAATGCAAAACACCTCAAGGATACATTTGACAAGGTCTCCAAGTGGTTGCTGAAAGTCTTTACTAGATGTGAAAAAGGCCTCGACCAGCAGTCGGAAGAAGCACAAGGACGTGTCATTGTGGCGGCCTTGGCGCTGGAAAGTCTGGCCAGGTTGTCGATAGAGTTTCACACACAGCATACAACAACGACCAAGAGTATCCAAAAGACCCTTCGTAACGCTCAAGAGGCATCCGAAAGGTTTCTCCATTCACAATCAACTTCACTGTGGACTCTCAAAGCCGTAGCCGCCTACGTTCAGGCAATGCAGATGTTCCAAGTCGTTCTTGGCGACAGAGAGAAGGTTTTCGACGCTCTTGTGCCCAACCTCAGCAGCTCGAGCCACTTTCGTCGACTCTACTCACTGCAGATCCTCGCCAGCTTTCCAAAGAAGCCCTTCGTCACAGATCACGCCGACCTGGATTTGACCGATGACTTGGACGAGGAACCCAGTGAGTTTGTTCCACAAGAGGGAACTTCGACGAGAGGTGCGGTCCGTTCCGGCCTCTGCGATATCCTTGACACGCTCCTGTCAATTGAATCGTCGACAGTTGCATTCGAGAATGAGCGACCGCTCTTGTCTTTGATATCCAGAATTGAAATCCTGGGGAGAAGCGCAAAGCTTCCGGTGGTCTACGCCGAAGCGGCCGCAAACCACATGTTGGGACTTCTTTACATCAAATTCTCTCCAATTTGGCCTGCTGCTGTCTCTGCCTACGTTTCCCTTGCCAATGGCCAGGAGTTTTCCTCGTGGTCTCCCCTGAAAGAGAAACTCGACATTCTCATGAACACATTTCCCAATCCACAATCTCTGGCTATTAGCGACTCTGACGGGGACACTCGGTTGAAACGATTTGACCCTTCTTGTCACCAAACGCTCTGTGCTACCTGGGACGAATCAAACGGAGAGAATGCATCCCTGTTTGGCAACGAAACATCACAACACCTCCCAACTGACGAGGCTACTGTCCTTCAGCATGTTTGGAGCGTTTTGGAGAATGCATCCGAGGTTGTGGCGAAGAACTCGAGGAAGATTGTTCCCATCTTTCTCCAGTTTATGCATTCTCAGTTCTACTCGTACTATCCACACGATCCAGATGCGAAGGAATTGCGTATCGAGGACCACATTGAAGACACGAAAAAGTAAGTTCATCGTGGTGAGCGATATGAAAGGGTAGTTGCTTGTCTTGCGAACGCTCACAGGCATGCATGATCATCTTTAAATAGGCTCGACCGAGCGCTACTGAAGGGCCATGTCGTCCATCAGAGGCTCATTTCCATCCTGAAAGTGTTTGCAGCCGTCAGTGGGCCTACACAACTCTACAAACATTCATTGCTACTGTCCATGTACACATCATTGCTCAGTCAGGAAACGAAGACAGCACAACTTGCGTTTGATTGCATTAAGTCGTACAAACTCCCATTTATGACATTCTTCTCGGAGAACGTGGGAACATTGTTTGCAAAAGGTGGCCTCCGAGAAGGACTGCTCAAATTCACTACATCCCTGGAAACCCGCACAATCGACAATAAGCACAGGCGCCAGCTCGTTCCGTTTCTAATGAGAGTCTTGTTTGGTAGACTTTCTGCGAGATCTGGGGGAAGCAGATCTTCAAAGGATAGTCCTTCTGCGCGAAGAGCTGCTGTACTGTCATTCATAGCTGTACTCTGCAAAAGCGACGAAGAGTTGTACCCACTGATTTATTTGATGATCAGGAACTATGTACCGACTAGCTTTCTGCTACTACCAGTGGAGCAACAAGATGAAAGTGCCAGAAACAAAGTCTTGTTCAACGTGAAGGACATCTCATTCGATGAGCTTGCCCTGTTGCCAATGCAAGTGCACATTGGGTTTCTTCACTTGCTGGAACCCGTGATTCATCAGCTCGGACACCGTGTTGTCAAATATGTGGACCAGTTTACAACCGTCATTCTTCGCTTGTGCAAATTCGCCGAAGTGAAGCAAGTTGCTTCGTCTGATGACGACGCCGGTTTGGAAGATTCTCCCGTGGAAGAAGAGGACGGTGAAAGCAAATCCAAAGGAGTTGGACCAATAAGGACTCTTTGCTTTCGACGTCTTTCAGAAATGTTTGCCCAGTTCTCCTCGACGGTGGACTTTTCTGCCTACGAAAGTGTATTGTGGTCGTCAATCGAACGCTCAGTGGCAATGCTTCCTGCGACCGTAGTCCGCTGTGCCAAAGTTCCGGCTTTGCTTTCCCTCTTGCAGACTCTCTCAAGTCACCGTCCACTGCTCCCCATCCTAAGCATGCACAAAGATGCGGTGCCTTGCGTGATCAAATGTCTGGCCGACACCAGCAGCCACCCAGTGGTTGATGCAACCTTGACATTCATCGACAATCTTTTGAATGCCGACGACGGCGACTCAGCGTCCGCGGACTTGATCAGCGGACACATTCCTTTGATTTTGAAACAGTTTACGCTGCGGCTAGGCGACAGGGCGAGTCGTTCAGCAACGTGGCGAAGGGAGCTACGAATCCTCTGTCGAATAACTGAACTTGTCGAGGAGGGGGGAACGAGTGACGCCTTAATCGAAGGAAGCAAGAACGACATCGCAGACAAACTGTGTACACTTCTAATGCCATATCTTGGTCATGGCAATGGGGCGACCGAGGGCGACCAACTCAATGTGCTGAAGATTCTCGAGAAGTTGATACGGCAGGTGAATCGCGAAGCTGGTCTGGTCTTCTATGAGCAGTTCTCTCGGTTGCTGGGACCAGGTCCAAAAGGGAAACCTGGCATAGCGTCCTATCCAGTCCGGAATGGTATATGTTCGGCCTTGAGCCATACACCACTCGAGTCGATGGCTGAAGCCAAGAAAGTTACGAGTGTCCTTACGAATCTCTGCAAAACTCACCCCAAAAGGGTTGATGAAATGGATTACGATGTGGTCATACCGAGCTTGAATGCCCTTGATCATACGGAAAGTGGCGCAAGCTGGCGCGCACTTACCTCTACTGATGGTGGGGCAAGTCCAAAATTGATTGCACCCCTCGTTGGCACGTGCTTTCATTATTTATTTAACGATGACGGTGTCATTGCTCGAGGTGCATTCAAGTCCCTCAAAGGTCTAATTGGAGTGGCTGCTGGGTTGGCAGGGTTGAAGTCAGTCGATGGAGAAGAACCCAATGCTTCCGAAAGCGACCTGTGGATTGATTTGCTGGAGAAGACGCTTGTGCCCGCAGTGAGGAACGGGCTGACGACAAGAAATGCAGCGGTTAGACGTCTGTACATTCTCCTCATGGCAGAGGTTGCCAGGTCGTGCCGAAACAGCTTAAAGCCCAATCTGTACGGTGACCTTGCTGTGCTGATCCGTGACGATGAGCCAGACTTGGATTTCTTTGCCAACATAACACACCTTCAAATGCATCGGCGTACGCGGGCTTTCCAGAGGCTCAGAAAAGCCCTTTCCGGATCAGAAGACGAACGAGAGACGCCGTTCTCTCTCCAGTCGCTTTCCAACGTCCTGCTTCCACTCGCACTCCACCCAGTATACGAATCCAAGACAAAAGCGGAGGAAACTTTTGCAGTCGAAGCAATTGCCACGGTGGGGGCAATCTCCAGACATCTCTCATGGAGTAAATATAGCACGCTGCTGTGGACAAGCCTTACACAATTTGATCGTCACCCAGAACAGGAAAGGTACTTGGTCGGAATGATATGTGCGCTGATTGACGGCTTTCACTTTGACATTGCAATCGTCGATTCGAGATCGGATAATGGAGCTCAGCTGGAGCAAGGCGACAATGCTGTATGGCGAGCACTTGAGAAACGTTTCATCCCACGAATCGAGACCTTGCTTTCTAAGGAGAAGGTAGACCATCGAAGTGGTTCCAAAACGAAGACTTTACGGGCTTCACTAATCCTTGCTTTGGTGAAGCTTTTCAAGAGATTCTCAAAGGACATATTCGAGGCAAGGCTACCAAGACTGCTAACGGTGATTTGTGATGGTCTCAAGAGTCGAGAATCTGACGCGAGGGATGTTGCCAGGAATACCCTGGCCAAAGTGGCTGTAGATGTCAGCATCGAATACCTCCCTGACATCCTCAGAGAACTGACCCTTGCACTTAAAGATGGATTCCGACTTCACGTTCGAATTGCCACTGTTCATTCGATCCTTCTCGAGATTGCAAAGTTCTACAAGCCACCTCCCCAGTGCACCAATGACGAGGCTACCAGTCTTCCCTTCGACCGAAGTGTTCCAGCAATCATGGATATAGTTCAGCAAGATCTCTTTGGGGGCGCTCAAGAACGAAAAGATGCCGAAGGAGTTCAAGGTCGTTTCGTCAAAGAGGCGGCGGGTTCCAAGAGTCACAATGTGATTGAACTGACAGCATCACTTATCATGTTTCGTCCATCTCTCGTAATACCAAACGATTCTGTCAGTTTCTCTCTTTCATCAATTCACGCAGTGGTATCTCCGCTTGTGGAACGGCTCAAGCCCTCGAGCGTTGATATTGCTACAATCCGGCGAGTGAAGGAGTGCTTATCGCGAGTAGTGACAGGGTTGGGGAAGAATCCCAGCGTGTCCGTCAAAGAGGTGCTTCCATTCGTCTACGCCACGGCCGCACCATTTATTGGGGACACAGACTTCATTTCCGCCATCACCGATGACCCCGAAGATTCAAGTGATGAGGATGAACCCATGAAAGCGATTCAAGTCAGCGGCGGAACTGCAAAGGAAAGAACGAAGAAAACCTCTGATGTTGAAAATACTGGCAGCGTGGCGCATTGGCGTCCATCGACGTTGAAGTCGAGCAAGACCAGCAAAGACGCTTCCAAGGTGAGGCTGAAGGAATCTCAGGACCTCCGACGAGTCCAAGATGGGGTGTCGGCTCCGAAGCTAACTGGCAGCGCTCGTTACGCAGCCGCTGTGGGTAAGAGCCGCATCAACGACCCTGCCAATATCAGCGCAGTTGTCTTCAGCCTACGCCTTTTGTACTCAACGCTTAAGAAGCACAGAGTCGCAGCGAGCGAGGAGGGCCTCATCGCACTCGTGGACCCTTTTGTCCCTCTGCTCACCGCTTGCGTGTGCACCTGTCGGGAAACTGATGTTGTGCTGTTGGCCCTGCGGTGCCTCGGCATATTCCTCGTCTTCGACTTGCCTTCGAAGGAATCTTGCGCAGCAGCATTAGGCACCAAGACTTTGGAGCTGCTCGGTTCAAATGGCGTTGGTACAAACCAAAATTCTGAGATGTCGCAAGCATGCTTCAAAATGCTCTTTCTTCTCATCAACCTGGATCAGTCCACTGCTGGTACGATGGTCACAACAGCTGACATGATTCAACGCGGGGAAGAATTCTTGTCCACAAACCAGAGAATGCCTTTGGATTCCGAGCAAATGAAGGTCCTGATGTCGTTTCTGCAAGAGTCACTCATGGACTCTGAAAGCCACAACTCTGCTACTGCTCTAATCAAGGCTATACTTTCCCGCCGCTTCATTTCTCCTGAGTTTTATGATCTAATGGACAGCATCCTAGAGCTCGCTGTGCGCAGCCCAAAGGCGCCACTCCGACAGGTAAGATCCCATATCCTTTTGATGATCCCGTGTCAATCTGTACAATGATGGACTTTCTAAGCCTAACGCGTCAATCTTCAACACGACAGCACTGCGCAGGAATTGTAGTAAACTACCTTCTCAACTACCCTCTCGGAGAAGATAGGCTGGAGTCACATCTGAAGCAGATAGTACTTAACTTGAAGTACGAATACGAAGAAGGACGCTTGTCCGGGATCAGTTTGGCCACATTGGTTGTTGAAAAAGTCCCCGTGGCTGTACTTCAAAAGTACGTGCAGCTTTTCTTCTTGCCTCTGACCATGCAGCTGGTGAATGACGACTCGGAGGAGTGCCGCAAAGGTGTGGCCAAGTGTTTGTCAAAGCTGTTCCAGAGATTGCCCATGGACATAGTCCAATCGCTCTACGACTACACGGTTCGTTGGTCACACGGAAATGATGAGCTCCAGAGGGCGTCCCTTCAGTTGTTTGGAATCATTGCCGATACACGCTCAGACTTATTGAAAAGAGGAGAAACAGTTCCGCAACTGCTCGACAGACTCAAATGTTTGGTCGCCAAACGCCACAACAGTGATCAGTCGGACTGGCAGGTTTTCTATTTTTCTTTTCTCTGCATTGAGAAATTGATCCAGCCCTTTCCAAAACTTTTGACCGAGAGGCCTGACCTTTGGGAAGTAATTGTCAGATGCCTTGCGCATTCCCATTCTTTTATCAAGTTGGTAACATCACGTTTGATTCACCAACATTTGGAGTCTCTTGACCCCGTTTCGTTCGCAAACGGGAGAGTGGAGACTTTCCTCACGCAGACGGATGGCTCATTGTACGAGGTAGCACGGAATCTCTGCTTCCAATTGAACTCGGAAGAAGAGCACCAGAGTGACGAGATTACTACTCTTTGTATCAAGTCTTTGTGCTGGCTTTTGCCCGCCATGCATGCCAACCCAACTCTCTGCTACGCTTCTGACCAAGGTGATGCACCCTCGGAGAGTCAGAATCCGGTTGGATGGGTAATGAAGCGGCTGTCGGGCATGGCAAAACCAAAGGGTCCAAAACGTCGACAAGCTGTCTTCAAGGCCTTTGGAGCATTTGCCACTGTGTGCCCTGACGTTGTCTTTCCTCATCTGGAGTTGATGTTGGAACCCCTGCACCGAGTCGACACGGAAACTGCGAACGATGCGGAGAACCCCTCTGTGCTGACGAAGCAACACCAGAGGAACCGCCGCAAAGGAACAGAGCCAGAAGCCATTCCAGCTGAAGCATCGTTGGCACGAGACGTTTTGCGAGTCCTGGAGGACAAGTGTGATCCAGCCGATATCTTCTTGACTACATACGCCGCAGTCAAGACGAAGGCTAGAGAAAAGAAGGAAAGTCGAAAGCTGATGATTCAAAGTGAAGCTATTCGAGACCCTCAATCTGCAGCTAAGCGTCGCCGGAAGAAGAACGAACGTGAGCAGCAACGAAAAAAAAGAAAAGTAGAAGACCGCCGACAAAAACATGGTCGTGGTGGCACGGCCAAGAAGTCTCGCTATCATGGTCAGAGCTGACGAGCTAAAGGAACATTGCAGCAAGCACACTTCTTGTAAGAATAATCAAAACTAAACGAATCTGTTCTATGGGTAGATGTAACGGTAAATTGTAGAGGCACTGAAGGACAGCATAGAAGCTAGGAAGTGCGACTTGTGCGGCCACTGGTAATACTGTTGCTGCGACTACGCGACACGGTACCACCTCTGGAATCAGACGAGAAGAACATGTCCAGGAGCCACTTCATTCCAAAGCTGCCTCGATCTTGCATGCCGTCGTCGACGCGATCGAATGTCTCTGCTTTCGCATACAACTTGGCGCCGTGCCACCCCTTGAGCTCTATTTGGTACGTGTCATCTTTCACGCGATACTTTTCCACAACGCCCTCGCCGTAGGCTGTCAAAACATCTTCCCCAACAGCTGCCTTGATTGGCCGCAGTACGAACTCTGGCTGCAAGTAACAGACAATGCCAGCTGAACCGACTGTCACGATATGAACACCTGTTGTTGGCTGTACCGACTGAAGGGTTCCCGTCAGGCCAAGTTTCGTATAAACGGGATAGCCCTCCTGGCAACCTTCCGCAATTTGGGTTTTGATGTCATTCTTCTTCAAGTAGGCAACAGGATGCGAACCGTTGGCTAAACTCCAGTTGCATAGGGATATGCAGTAGAAGCCATCTTTCGGGCGGAACGAAGTGATAATTCCTTTCCCAAATTGCGTCGAGACCTTTGCGGAGTCTTGGTAGTATTGTTTTTCGAGAGGGGTCAGATCTTCTTTCGTTTCCTTCTTTTGTTTATTGCTGGCTCTGCTGCTGGGAGTTAGCAGCGACCCCAACAAGGTTTTCGATTTCGAAACCAAGTTCACCGTTTTGGATAGGATCCCTCCATGTCGTCTGTCTTTCCATTCCTGGGCTGTGGCAACTGGACAGTAGATCACCGGATGAGTTCCATTGGCAAGTTTCCACGAAGTCAAACTAATTCCTATTGTGGGAACCGACTGAGCTTCTGCGTTTGGTGAACCAATAGACCCAGAGCGTGATCGGCGAGTTGTGTGCTCAGGGGTGGCAAATGCCGCCTCGCCCTTTTTCGAGCTGTTCCGCCTCGGAGTCTCTCTTCCTTCTGTGCCTTTCTTGAACGGCAGTGGTTTTGTGACTGATCCTTTGCCGTAAGGAGTGTTGATGATGGTCCCTTCGGCGTAGGGGAAATCCTTGGGCTTGACGGGAGGGGCTTCGCTGCCGCTCATCTTTCGGAACAAAGATCTGATCAGCCCTTTCGAGGCAATCTTCACATCATCTTCTCGCAGGAATGCCTTCGCCTTCCAACCAATCATATCCACAACAACGAGTCGGTGCTTTTCACGATGCTCTACGATCGTGGCATTTCCATACGGAGTCGTGCAATGAGCACCCGCCTTGTAGATTGATTTCTTCTCGGCGCTACTGTTGCTGGGACTCCAGAACGTAAAGATGCTGCCCCTCGTCTTATCGAGTTTGGGTAAAACGGGGGGTGTATATTTCGTAATCTGATGTCCGGCAACATAGGCCTTGACTTTGCGAGCGGCAGGTGGAGTGCCCATTTTCGCAGATGTTTTGACGGTTTTTGCAAAATTCTCGCCTTCAGCTTTCGTGGCAGTGCCGTCATTGTTGTTGTCTGATTCCTCACGCGGGAGCTTTGCAAGTATTCTGCTCAGCTGCTCCGACGAAGGTCGCCTGCCACTTACGGACGGCGTTACAGTGATGCCTTCTGCCGAGTCAGGCTTGCCCTGATCCAGAATCACTGCATCTCCCTCTTCGATTTCTTCAATCTCAACAACAGTCTCAAGAGTCAGTTTTGTTGTGCTGTCGTTGTTGCCGCCGGCTGCGGACTCGGTACTGTTACGAGGGAGGATTGTTTCATTTCGCTCTTTTGTAAGGTGATCCGCTAGCTGCACATTGAGTGGCCTCCAATCCAAGTCCACTTCGTACAAGTTAGTTTCCGGGTTGAAACTGCAGATTGTTCCCAGTCCATACGGAGTTTTCACAATTTGCCCAATTGCCCAGATCTCCTCGGCTTGTATCAGCGGAACCGGCTCCAGTCCATTTCTCTCTAGGATAGAGTTTGCCAGCCATATTGCCTGGTTCAGTTCCAAGCGACGCTCTGCTTTTGTCCGTATGGTAGCCCATTTGTTTTCGGCAATTGCCTGGAAGTCTCCAGCTGCGTCGGCACAAACTCTGCGCATTCCTTTGAGGCCCATTAAAGGCGGATCCGCTATTGTGGCGGCATGGATGGCTGCTTCAGGATAAGTTGTGAAGAAGCAGGGGAAGAATTCTTTCTTTCGGTACGCCTCAGCGTCGTACCCATGCGTTTTGCGTCGCTCTGTCACTTCGTGAACGTAAAGTGCTTCTAGTTCATATGGGAAATTGTCAAACATCATTTCTCCTGCTCGGACATCACCCTGTCCATTGTCCGCCACAAAGACGTGTTTGAATTCTGGATAGATTGACACGTATCGTTTGAAGTTTTCAAACTTCTTGACAGCCAAGTGCTCAAAATCGCCGGAGGCCATGAATTTGCTTCCAGATGCAATATCCCCAGCCAGTAAGGACGGTACCGTGTGCATTCCTTTGCGTCCATCTTGATTCGGCAACCTCATCTTTTCAAACTTCTTGAAGTTAGCCTTCTCACTCATATCCTTGTAGACGTGTGGACGGGCCGATAGAAAGACCAGGTTCCCTAGGCGGTTTTCAGGCCATTCGTCTGGCCCTTGCGTCCCCAGATCCAACTCTCGATAGAACGCCAACACGCCTGGGTATACCACTTTCTTAGCGTATCGTTTGTCGACTCCCGAAGGATAAGATCCACCGCTGCTCAACAAAGTATCGTCTACATCCGAGAGGACCTTGCGCCATGCGAGGTGTTTGCGCTTTTGCGCCCTCTTCGTCCCCATTTGCATGTGCGCTTGTTGTACAGCGGCTTCTCGTCGGATGTGGCTGAGTATATCTTGTCGGGTGCTTTCGGATCGCAGGTCCTCATAGACAAGTTTTGTCATGCAAAAGTAGTCTCCCTTGCCGTCCATCAAAGTCTTGAGTTGAGACAAATCATCTTGGTTGGTATTCTGTATGATGTTCAGAACCCACTGTTCTGCTCTTGGATTGGCTTTTAGTTTCAGGAGCTGAAGGGAATGCAAGACAATGACACGAGACATGACAGTCAAGATGGCTAGTCGCTCCACGGCCAAGAGCTGAATGATCCTGGTTCGATTTTGTCCAGCAAAGTTACGGTGATCCTTGATTTTGTAAAAGAGCAAGGCTAGTTTGACATGCCCTACCAGATAGTTGAGAGCACGAGCATCACATTCCTCAAAAATGGAGATGATCTCTCGTTCCTTTTGCAGTACGAATCGAAGATTGATAAAGTTGTTGATTGTCGAGGGAATGAGGAGTTGATCTATATCACGCAGACATCCGTTGATTCTAGCCAGCTGATCCTCTACTCTGAGCCCATATTGATTCAGCGTGTTCAAAGAGATGCATCCAATAGACGCCCTTCTTAGCCTCGTTTGTCTAGAATGTGTAGAATGAATAAAAGAAGATGGTGAGTAGTGTTCACATTCACTTCAATGGTTTGTCATTGCCAGTCCATGCAGACATGCACTAGTATGTACATGTACTTACTGACTGATTTGATTTCGATGATGGTGTCTATCCCACACGTGCATAATGTATCCTGAAAGTATGACCATGGTGAAGCCCAAAGACGGACTCCAGTGTCGGCCAAATGCAAAGGGTGAATCTTTGGCAAAGAAAAGAGCCGTTGACAGCAACAGGCCAAAAATGGTCCAAAATCGATTCTCATACTCTTGTGCCTGTCAATTGTAAGTATGCTAAAGTGAGGGTTGACCTTGCTGGATAGTATAGAAGGCCAAGTGCATGCAGTGCCTGGCATGAATCGAAAAAAGAAAAAAGACGTACCTGATGTACGCCACTTTGTTCATATGCCATAAAGAGGTAGAGAGAATAGAGCAAGGATATCAAACAGGTGCAAATGACTGGTGCCACTGCGAAGAATGCACCAAACATCAACAATACCACCTAAAAAGAAGCAAAGAAACAAAAAATGGATGGGGGAATTCCACGCATGAGAAAAACAAGAAATGAATTTTGTCGGCCGTTCATTTTTCCATCCAAAGCAAACTCACCAGCACCAGGAAGAGCAGGAGGACCATTGCTAAAATGCGATCCATGATTGCTGAGTGTGTTTTCGAGAATGTTTCGATAGCTAGCTAGAGAAACAGGAATGGGCGTGCTATTCTGTGGGATTGACGGTTTCTTTCTATCCAGTCGTCGAGTCGTTGGAAAACTGCCACTTCCTTGGCATCCACTGCTGGGATTGTCTCTGCTTCAGCTCTCACAATAACAGGTCGACTCGACTCTTGCTTGCTTGCACCATGAAGCTCACGTCCTTTTGGAACAGGAAATTCTATCTCTTGGAGGGTAAGCAGAGATTACCAGCAACAGCAGGAAGCTTTGGGATCGAGGTACCGGTATCGAGGCGGTGATGCTTCTTCCAAACATAGATCGGGTGGCAAAACATTGCCGATGTGGTTTTGAGACTTATGGAACGGTACTAAACGCAATATGAATCTGAACCCGGATTTATCCAGCTTTGGCCCCACCTGAGTTTACCGCTTCGGTACGGCCACTACTAATACTAGCTACAGTCGTAGCCAGTTACACTCGACTCTCTACAGTACTGTACTAGCTAGCAAGCTAGCCTGGAGCACCCCCCACAATTTCGTCTCCTGGAGACGATTTGCTTTAGGGGTAATGGTACCGATGGGGGCAGAGGTTTGAATTATACCCGGCGCGCATTACTTAGAAGGCCCTGTAGAAGTCTACGTATTCGACTAGCGTATTGTATTGACGGGATACAGTCAACGCATGTACATGCACATGAAAGTCGCCTTGCGTTCTTCACATTTTAAAAGTTGGCTCCTAATTTTTCGGGGTCGCCTGTGATTTGATTGGACGCTTGATCTTTTTTCAATGACTGACATTGAATGACGTACGAGGTGCAATGCGAATCTCAGAAAGGTAGTTGTAGTAATAAAAGTTTATATATAAGATTAATTTACCCTATATCCCTACCGTTTATACTTATAACAAGACCCGTCTTCTCGCTGGAACATTTCATCGTTATTGATCTTCTCCTAGGACAGAAGCCCAATAGTATCCTTAAATCTTGCAAGCATGTCTCTCATTCGTTGTGGCATGGCAAAGTTCTTTGGATCCCAATCCAGCTTCTTCAATAGAGAACAAACCACTCATGGTTCGACCCCTTGATAACACCACGTAAGCCCAGTTTTGACAGTATCGCCATGAATGTACCAATAACCACACTGCAGTATATCCCTGTAATTTGTGTCCAGTTGTCGAGAATTGCTGATAATCGGGAACTTCTTACCTTCATCTTGGTGTGTAAACTTCTCCGTCATAAAACCATCTGGTGCTGAAGTGTAGTCTTGCTCCGTTACATAAAAAGTACGTGGCTAATAGTCTCCATTTCATGTTCCCAAGGATAGATTTGACTTGCCTGAGAAAAAAGCCCGAATCTTGCACCCGTTGTCGAGTTGAATAATCATGGGGGTGCAACCATACCCTCACATTCACCTTCTCACAAAAAGCCGAGATCCATTGGCTTCTCCATTCGTGAACATTCGTGTTCTCTGTAAACATTACAGGACACCCCTTATATAACTTCAAAGCAGGATCAACACGTTTTCGTGAGTCCGAACCGGGTTTAACGAGTCTTTCCACATGTTGAAAAGAAGTGCTTTAAAACCGAATTGTCTTAAAGGAACCAGTGTCCCTGCTTGATTGGCCAATTTGAAGATCGTCCATGAAAAATGAGTACTGCATCCATCAGCACGGAATCATCAGCAGGTTTGTTCTCCCGCAAAATTCTTCGAAGATAGCTGAGTTAATGGCATTTCGATCTCGATTCAGATAAGTAGCAACTTGAATGTTCTCTGGTGGAACATGGGTTGGCCAACCACGCAGGCGTCATTGATGGTCTCAATATCTTCTTCTGTTGGTCGCCCTTCACGGAATCTTAAACAGCGTTGCCCCCATTCAGGATCGTCTTTGAAGCGGTGATTCCATCTAACTCAATAAATGAATTCAGAGAGTCATGAAATTCAGGAATGGTGTGCTGAAGATTGTAAATTGGGGGGCGTCCCACTGGTCAAGTTGAGAGTAGTCCCCTGCGAACACCAAGTTAAGTCCCCAAATGGTTGGTATTGTCTTGCATCAAGGTTCTTGGTGTAGTGGAATATCTTCACTAAGTCAAGTTCCCCCGCGAATGAATTTTCGTCGATGATAAGCATCTGTGCGTCACTCCATTCTTCTACAAGTTCTTCGCCACACTTTCCCGAGTTCTGTTCAATCCACAGCTGAATGCGTTGTTTCCCCATGCAGTATTGTAGCAGCAACCCCGACATAGAGTGACAACAATGGTTCGGTCGTTAAATGGATGATCATTCAAACGCAGAATTCTTGCCATAGGCCATGACTAAGTCATTACGGTAGTCTTCCCACTTCTCCAGGCCCATGTAGAAGAAGAATCAGTTGGGTGCCACGATTCCCTTCAAAATCAAAAAGTTTTTACGAGAAAGTCGACTTTTGCCTTCAACCCCATATCCGGGACTCCATCCTCTAAGTCACCTTTTCAGCTTCCTTCATAAAATGTCAACAAGAAGGCTGCAATGATACACTGGAAAGCCCTTCTCTGTTTGTCGTCCAGATTGGCAGCCGTTGCCCAGTCACTTATACTTCTCACGCTTCCATTCGCCTGCGACACTTCAACCTGCGGATTGTACTTAAATACATTTGCCCTTTGGATGCACTCCCGTTTGTTAAGTAGAACTTCAATGATCTTGTATATCGAGGTGTAGGCGGTTTCATTTGCTTCTCTTGTAGTGCCAGTCGTGTGAAAGTCAGCACTTATGGTAACAAATTCGTCTTCATCTAACGAATTCTCAGGAATGGGTAACTGCAGCTTGTATCCTGCGTTGTCGCTTCCATTGTGACGTATAGCCGTAAAACTAAACCATCAAATGTGCTTGCCAGAAAGTCCCGGTTTGAATCTGTTGTGCCCTGGCTCTCAAGATCACGTATCCAATCTTCGTAAACCTTTTGAATCAGATCATCTTCCT